TGTGTATAAGAGACAGAATACATACACACACATATATAAATAATAATAAAAAACCTAATTTGAACGCCTACAAATTGATTTAAATCATATACAAATCACCAAATCATTTAAGTTTCTAATACAATTCTTCATCAAACTTGATTGCACTCTTTTTGAATGGTCAGCAAACACTTTAAATTGCTACTTGTTTGAGGTTACTATGTGCATGCGATTGATATGCACTACTTGAGGTCGCTATGCGCTTGAGGTCACTGTGTGCATGCGATTGGCATGCACTACTGATGTTGCTACGCACTTGAGGTCACTATGCATTTACCACAACCAATCACAGAATCTACATAAAAATTAGAGATGCAATGACACTTGCTAATAATTCTATTTCTAATACAAACTGACAAAAGAATTTTTACTTAGCTGTTTACAAAAGATTATATGTATAGATCTTAATATATATATTGAAAATACCTTATTTCTATGCACCCTCTGGCAATTATGGATACCATACGAGATAAGGTGGGAATATTGTTAAGTGGTTTGCATTGAAAATAAGTAGGAACGAATAGGAATGATATGAATTTTTCTTATAGTAAAACATATCACTCAGAGCTTTATAATTGTTGTATAGGATATGTAAACAGTACAATGATGATGAACAATATATAATAAAAGAAAATTTCTCAATTGCACCAGACTTATTCCACCTACTAAAGTGATGACAATTAATGACCTAAATAGGCCTACAACCCAAAGAACAACTACAATGTAAAAATGATACCCTAAGGACAGAACGCACCTCTGTAAATAAAAAAGCAGTTTCATGTTTAAAAAAAAATATTTTTATAGCGCATATCAAGTTTGTCTATGAGCTTTAAACATTCTATCTAAAAGTAGTACAGCTTCCTCCCCTCACAATATCCTAGAGACACCAGGTTCCCAGCCCCCACTTAAGTTTGATCAAATATAACAAAAAATGTAGATCAAAACATACAGTATATTTTTACTCCCGTTTTAATTACTTAAATTAATTAAAACACGTATGTGAGAGTAATATTTACTAGGCACCAGTTTTTCTACCTGTGTGTAAAGATCTAAAAACATATTATTAGAGGACATGAGTTCTTCAATGACCTAATAAGATTAAAAATACACTGTCGAGTACTATATAAACAAATACAATTAATGTTGTTTCGAAGTCTCATTAAGTAGACTATAAATTTGTCTTTATTTCTTCTATCCTAATGTTTGTTCCAGTGATAACAAAATCTATGTTGATATTCACAAAAGAGAGTCTATTTTATAAAATAATGATATAGATATGAAACTCCAATAATCATCAACATATGAATTGATTAAATATAAACATACACATATTCACATCAATAGCAGTGAATTCACTTGGTGCAAATATTTCAGGTTTTTGTACAAATTTAAAGCATCTTTTTTGGTTGTGTTTAAGTATGGGAAGCCATTGATATATTGGCTGACTAATAGTGAATAGGAATATACACATACATGGTAAACGAACATTGATAATGCATATGGATAAACGTGAAGAAACTGATGAGCTGCACCACAGAGATGGTTGGTCTAATGAATAGAATCCACACATCCATCAAGTTAAACTAAACATATCCTTTGAGACAAAATGAATTTCTTAAATTTACAACTGGGAATACAAAACATATTATATATATTTATATCTATTTATAGAATAGCATTTTAGCATTGCTACAGTAAACAATATTTGAATTACTACAATTATATGTACAACATAAATATTATAGTGAATGTTCTTTACTATTTTTTTTTTTTGTAATTATAAAATGTTCCTACAGCAATCCTTTCTTTGAAACTCAATTAGTACATATAATTATAAATATAAATTACATATTGATGAAAGCCTTGACAGAATATCATTTGGAACTTAATGACAATATTTTTCCCAATACAACTGAATGTCAATCAATTTAAAATCCATTCATCAAGACTACAACTTGGAAAAACACATTTATACAAAAGGTGGTATGTATCATTAGCTCCATATGCCAAAACACAATAATAATTTTCTTAATATTTAAATAAACAGCATAAAAGCTGTGTAAGTCATGTGTTTTTAGAATGAATACAAGTGAAAGTCTTTAAAAAAAAAATCTATATGATCTTAATGTCAAAGGTGAATAAAATTTAATACATTACACTGTAAGATAATGAATCATGAACGAATATACACAAAGTATCAGCAGTCTTCTGCTGTAATACCATTGTTTAAATTGAAAGAAAACAGGTGGATTTAATTTCTCAAAAAACATAAACTAGTCGTCTTCTGATATAATACCATGTACACAAAGTTTAAAGTGAAAGGATAATAAATTGACCTGAATTCTCAAGAATAAACATGAACTATTATCTCCTTAATCAGTAATACCATATTCATACTGGTCAAAATAAAAAGTAGAAGCAATATAATAATAAACTAATCAGTTTAGCTGTATAAATTCCAGATGTTTTTATATTTGTAAATTTTAATAATTTTAAATTGTAACCATTTGTTGTAATTCAGTTTTTAACTGCGACACATTTAGGTATAAACCTTGAATGAATGAAAATGAATGAATGAGAGTATATCAGCATTTGCTTCCTTTCACTAGTACTGAGAGGGTAGGGCTGGCAGGGCCAGTGATTCAGGCACAAAAAAATGCATGATGTAAATCTCAATACTTACATCTATAACTGTTTACAAAAAGCTGAACACATCAAAGTCTGTTGCTTTGCAAACCCACACCTGGGCTCTGCCATTAGACCATACTGAGAACATTTGCTGGCCTCCAGACCCCCAGGATTAGGCCTCGGCTTTTACACTGGACCGGGGACCCTCTATAGACTCACACAGTAGAAGAGATCATTATACTTTCAAATTAAATTGCTTCAAATCTGCTACTTAGTTGTTGTTCTTGCCTGAGGTGCTAAATCCAGTGCAATTATTTTCTTATACTGATTCTTTATTCTGAATAATTTTCATAAATAGCACCACCTATTCAACAAAAATCTGAGATTCAAATATGGGGAAAATAATCGTCTGTAAACTGACATGAAGTGTCAGTGACTGTTAGTAAAAAAGGGTTAATTAAATTAAGATTTATCTAATTATATAAAGTAATTTGCCTGAGGCATAAGTTTCTTAATAATTTGACAGTCAGATGCTCAAATTATCGTCATTAATTTTATGAATAATTGACAGCAATTTAAAAAATGTAATGAAATATATCTTTGTTTATTTTGAAAGCATTTGCCTTGTTCTCCATTTGTTTTGTTCTTTTGTTTTCTGATTGGCTGAAATATAATTATACATTACTTGCATTGTAAGTATGAATCATGGCTTTTTTTGAATTGCCATCTCATATACTTAGTGCTTTTGCAGTTTGTTCTGTTAAATTCTTGTTTATATCGTCGTTCACATCATGAAATAACACAATCAAAGTAGATTGTGTTAGTTCGTGAAATCACAGTAGCACGTCAAAACGAGCGCGTATTGGTTGTCAAGTAATTTTGTATTCTTTACCACACAAAAAGACCTTAACAACAACAGCGCGTATTTTGACGCGCTTTCTCGATTTCACGAACTAACACAATCTGCTTTGATTGTGTTAGTTCGTGATGTGAGCGACGATATATTTATACATTCATATATACATTAACTTAGGAAACAGTGATTGAATTCACTTTTGACAAGCCTGGTCTTTTGCTGTCTGTCTTATTTTATAATTATTGTGTTTTGGAATTGAAAAAACATCAAACTACTTCAGAAAATTTAATAATTCAAAAAAGAATGAACACATTTTCAATTAAATTATTGTTATGATTTATGCACTAAAATCAGGTATAAATAAAATTTTATATAGTAAGCAATCAATTTGAGCATAAATAATGGAAGCAGTCATTTGAATACTTCAGGCATCATGTTGTGTAATAATAAATTTATAAATATTTTTACTTAGAATTGCATTGTTAAATGAAGGTGACATTGTATATCCAAGTACAATCATGTGACAACACAAGTAAAGTCATGTGACGAACACAGATAATCATGTGATATACTTAGGAAAAATCTTGTAACAACAATTACTAATGAATAATCATTTCAAATACTAAATATGGCCATGAGACCAATTATGATCATGTGAAATGCCAAATTTTTTGTGTAGCAATACAAAAAGTATAACACAATTTTACGATTGAAAAGCTTATAATGTTTACATCATTCAGACAAACTTTTGAAAAGGCACTTCCAATATATTGCACTAAAATAACTCCTTAACTAATGTAAGAATACCAACAGAAAATATAATAAAATAATTGCAATCATTTGTAAGTGTATTAAGCTACTAAAAGAGCAATCAAGCGTCTGGAGGAACACCTCACCTCCAATTTCAGATCAAATGGGCAAGCATAATAGACAAGAGATGTAAAAAAAAATTGGTTTAAACATAAATAAATTAATTAGCATTGTGTGCATATATAATAAAAAAAAATATATAAAAAAATATGTTGTTAACTTTAACTTTATGTAAAAATATAAGTAGCTGTTTGCATATGAACATAAGTAAATTATTAGGAAATAGCTTAAAAACAATATGTTGGTAAATTGAACCTGCTAATGGGTCGTTCAACATTATCAACAATAAGTGTACAAACAGTATGCTAGGGGGAGGGGGTAGACAAATTTGTACACTTTTACATATGCATGAAAATGTTGATTCAAAATAACATGCAATATGTAAAACAATGATAAAATTATAAAATAACCATTAATATAATATTCATTTTTATGCAACCAAGTACATTGCTTTAATTGACTTCACAAAAATAAGGAGAATGGTTTTGCAAAATGAACATTATTTTTTGTATACTTTCAGAGTTGAGGGAAGGGATATCAAAAAAGAGTACTGTTTGTAGACTTGTGAAAATGTTGATAATTGTGAATGACCTCTAAGTACTAACCATTTTCTAAGCTTGCACAGCCCAGGGAATTACAGCTTAAGTTGAAGCTAGATAGTTTTTATTGAATTTAATTAAATATTGAGTTGATTAAAAATATTTTTCATTGAACTAACAATGTCAGTAAAAAATAACCATTCCAGAATCAACTAATATTGTCTTCACTGAAGACTAGGAATGATTGAATGAGAGTAGAGGTTGTTACAGTGGAAAACAATGACAGAGTTCCAGAGTGATGTTGCATCATAGCACTCTATGCCATGGAAGGCACAGAAGTGATATTGTGCAACATGGTAAAGTACAGTTCAAATTCAGGACAAGGTATTCAATTATGATATTAATAGCAACAGTACATGTTGTGAATATTGCAAATTAGTACTTCAGTTTGAAATGTTGGGCTGATGAAGGCACCCATACATCTCAAAACCCAGTACATTGTCACCAAGTTGCTAAGCATGCCAATTCTTTCCAATTGGTGACTCTTGGTTTTTCAGTAAATTATTTTTGTTTGGGAATGCACATGTCAGCTTTTATGATAATGTTTGTTAATCTTTACTGTTTTTTTACATTTAATATCTTAAAGCATAGAATTTAAAACTGTTTTTTCCCCTCCAAAGCAAGAAAGCAGATAATTCCCTGGCACATTATACACATGTAGGAGGTTACATTATTATTACAATACACCTCTCCCCTTTTACCTGCAAGGTGTGCTGTGTACCTAGCTACTTGTAAGGTGTGTCCTTTACGCAGACTAAAAACTGAGTTGACAGCTGCATAAGTCTAGTGGGAAGTATATTTAGCACTTCTTTTTTTCTTTTCTTTTAAGTGTTTTGCTGATTCAGCAAAATTGAAGGCAGAATCATGCATAATACCTGTGGTTTCTTCAACCTCCTTCAGTCTCTGACCTCTTTCATTTGCAGCCTGCAGAAACAAAATTTATCTTCCAGTTATATTGTATTCAAACATATACATTGTCATGTGACCTACATTTTCTATTAAAAATTACATTCTCATTCCACTAAATGTCAAATTATATGGTAAGCTAACATTATTATCCTTTCAACATCCTAATCTCCAAAATTCAATCATTTTCAGTGATGCAGTAGTCTTCTGTCCAGACATTAACACACTGACTGTTTAAATGATGTGTATAAGTGATTATGATATGTGACACCCTCGGAATGTTTTATGGTCCATGACACAATTTTGGTAAATGAGAAATGAAGTCGCAATCATCAAAGTGAAGGATAAAAGCCATCAGAACCCAGACGTCCCTGCTGTGTAATCATGCATAGCTAATGAATAATTTCCATTCATGATCAACCTTTTATAATTTAATATATATCTTACTACAATATACAACACTTATTATTAGAACAAGTAATCTAGATAATTATCATAATTAATGATGAAATGGGAAAGACTCCTACAAATGAACAAAGTTTATTTGTAGGAGTCTTTCCCATATCATCATTAATTATCATACTGTATGGGAAAGACTCCTACAAAATACAAATGATAAGATAAATAAAAAAACACACAAATTACATTAACAACAAGAAAAACTTCACAATAAGAACAACAAACACAACAATGATGACAATGATTTAATTATTGCAGCTTCCAATTACAGACATGTAAGGTTTAACTCAATACAGAATACTTGATGTTGATTCCATTTCTCCTTGATGCCTAGAGTGTAAAGCATTCTTCTCTCTAGAGGACTCAAGTTGTCATAGGCATACATCATCAAATGTCATTACAACATAATGTATTATTATTTAAGTCATAATGACAGTACTGGGTAGAGCACACAATGTACTCATGCATCACATTTTTTTACTTAAGACTATGTTTCATAAGCATATATTTGTGAATTGTTGACATTTTGTTTTTGTAATGTATTTATATTTATTTGTATTTGCCAGATATAGATAAATATTATTATTTGCCAAATAAGATAAATAAAAAAATTAGAATGTCTTACTCATAGTTCAATTTGACAAGCCCTAGTGGTCTTACTAGTTTTTCAGACCTTTAGTACTTGAAATACTTCAGAATAAATAATTAACATTTCTTAATATATAACAAGCTATTAGAAATTGAACAAAAAAAACTTAAAAACAAGAAATTTAGCACTAACATCAATAACAGAATATCAATATAATTGTTCGTTTCAGAAATGCAGTGTTGTACTAAACCTAGAGACAGCTATTAATACTACGCATAACCACTTGAAATTTAATACCAACTACCGTAGGACAACTTTGTCAAAATGACAGGATAATAAGGCATGTGTGTCAATCTGATAATTAATGTAGCACTTGATAACAATCCTATTAGGCTAATGCTATATCACACTGTATAATGCACTTTAGTATCAGTGATATATAAAATGAAGCAATTTTTACCTTTTGAAGGGATTAAGCAAGAGTACAAATAATTTATACAAATGCTGATAATATTGGTATTATTATTATTTATCATGATGAAAAAATATGTAGCCATGTTAGTCTGCTATAGAACAATATAAAAGAAATGACAGTACCACTTTTAAAACACATGTTTTTAAATGGTTATCAAAAAACATGTGTATTTTTCCCCAGCAGAAACAGGCAAAAAAACAAAAACACAGTTAGGAATGCGTTCTAAAAATGCTTGTTTTAACACGCATTTGTTATAGGTTTGGCATTCAGAAAATGTGTTTTGTGGTACACATTTCTTTTGGGGCACCATAGAAGTTGTCATTCTTATAATATTGCATTTCTTAGTGTTAAAGTTGAGCAACCACCTGTTTTGCCATGATTCCAATTTCAACAAGTCATCCTGAAGGACTTGGTGATCACATTTGGTCTTTATTGGACGATAGAGAAGACAATCATCAGCAAACAATCTTACTTCAGATGAGATACAATCCAGTAACAAAAAGAGAAGTGGCTCTTTATGCCAGGCCTAGTGATGTGTAACGGTTGCAGCTCAGGAGGCTCTGAATCAGTAATGGTTGGCATATTCTCAGAAATAAGTTTTAAAAACATTATTCCACTAACAAAGTAGAGGAATGACATACATACAGTACTTCAACTACCAAAATATGCAACTCATAGATAACCACAAAATTCACTTTTGTTTACTTTACATGTTATAAACAGTGCAAATAAACAGTAGTTAAAGCATGTGGATCAATTGTGTGTTTGAATCACAAGTTTATGTATGGGAAAAGGGAGAGGCTTACTTTCTCACAAACTTAGCAATATATGTTCTACTTAGAGTTACTTCAAAGAAGTATTTGTTAATCATATATTTTTTTAAAAGTAAACTGAATAATTAGGAATAGGCCTACATTTATTTAAGCAACTTATTTAATTGCATACTTGGTTTTTACTTCCCACCAACTAAATTTAAGTGCCTAAAACTATACTAAATAATGTAAACTGAGATACTATATATACATATGTAAATATGGCAATTATGCTAAGAATTAAAATGGCGTGTAATTGTGAGGGTAGGGTAATTATGGTAGGATTAAATGGTATTTCTAAATCCCACAAACCTCCCAAAGCACACTGTAGAAAACCAAACAATTCAATTTTGATTGACTCACTTGGTATATCAATAAGAAAATTAAATATTCATAAGAACCTATTTTTTGGTTAAAATGTTGATTTTTTTTGGGAAAAAATGCTTGCAAATACACCACAAACCTCCAAACACACTGCGAACCCCATCCAAACCCTTTAATTATGATTGTAGAACTCTCTATTTCTAAAAAAAATAATAATAATTTGATGTTCATATAAACTCAACGTTTATGGGGTTTACCAATACCCGGATTGAATTTCTGAAAATTGTGATTCCGCTTCCGTGAAATTGGCCACAAATAAATTATTTTAGTATTATTAAATGCATGATTTATGTTGTTTTATTGATTATGTTGTTGCTATTTTTTAAAATTTAAATGAAAAAAAATAAATAAATAAAAAGTGTTATTCATGGCTTTTTTTATCTTTGAATATTTTATCAATGTTGAATTTGTAATTCCTGCAAAAAGTAAAATGTAAATGGCAATTTATTTGATGTTAGATTCCTTTTTAAAAACTACAGTAAATTATTTCAGTTAATAGAAATGCATATAATGATTTTAAAAAAATCAGTTTTAATACAGAATTTTATTACTAAAAAGGGCCATTTTTACCTACCTGTCATTTGGGGCCATTTTTACCAGAGCCATTTTTACCGGGGCCATTTTTTCCGAGGCCATTTTTTCCTGGGCCATTTTTTTCCGGGGTCATTCTTACCGTACACCACCTAGGGACCCCGGAAGCCACGGATATTTGACGAATTATGGCGAGCTACTATAATATGACTTCATGTAGGCTATGTTTTCTAATGTTGAAATCAGCTTCCAAAACCAAAACATTTTGATTAAAACAAGAAACAAAGAGTATGAAATGTAACCATCTAATTTATTTTCAAATCCTCATTCTAGAAAGTGAAATACATGAAATCCGTCAACCACACTGTCACGGTCAAGGTTGCTTCCCCTATCACGATGTATTCCAAGCATCATGAGGCTATCCAAATGAATATTTGTCATAACAGAATGAAACTTATTTTTATTATTTATTATTTATTTATTTATTCGACTTCACACAGGCAAAAATACAATAAAAAAATCAATGAAATTAATTAATTTTAATTAGTCACATGAACTATTATTATTATTATTATTAGGGGGTGGGCTACAGTATGCTTCCCCGATGGGGAGAGTGGGGGCTATAGCCCCTAGCCACCTATGGCACCACCACTGTTCTTCAGGAGACTGTAAGGAGTTTTCGATTTGCATGTCCACTATGTCGACTGATAACCTATAACGTAGTTTTGATGACTTGCGCATGCGTCAAGTCGACTAACACGACGACTGCCAAATTTGAGAACGTGTTCAGCAGCGTTTTGACATTCGTTCTCTGATTGAGATAACAAGTAGACGTCTGACGTCATATCACTGCAAACTTTTGATTCATGATGGAGGACGATGTCGCGGTGCTTCTTAATTTGGCAAAATTATCTTCTACTGGGGATGTAAGTAAATAGCATTTTGGTTAAGTTATGTCCTATTTGCAAACTATAGAATTATCCGTTATTGTGGATCAAATTCAGTGGATAATTAGGTAATTAATTAATTAGCCTATTAGCTAGGCCAAGGGTGCCTAAGCCTAGGCTAGGCTAGGCGAGGCCGCCAGCCTTCAGTCAGGCCGGGCATATCCAGGAAAAAGGAAATAATTTTTCAGTGATCTGTTAAAAAAAAAAAAAATCCTATATTGAACAAAGAAGGAGAGGGGCACCCTCAACAGGGAGATTTATGTTTTTACAACTCCCTGCCCTGAATACCCCATGGATATACCATTAAGGGATTCGCGAAGCCGATGAAGATTTGCCTTGTTGAGCTGCGTAGACTACAATATCTGAGTGTTGAGTAAGATACCATGGCCAGTGTATTCGAATAGCGCGCGCGCGCGAACACGGGGAAACCCCAGATCACAAGTTCACTGACGTGTCAACATGGACGTCCACTTAAATCGAAATGTTCAGATAACCAGTGGACAAGTACGAGTCGACTGCTCGGATTTTCCACTCATGCGGACGTGAAAGCCGTCCACGTCCACTCAAATTGAAAAGTCCTTAGTATTCTGATGAAGTCCACTGTGTGAACGAAAGCTAAAGATCAAATTTTACAAATTAGTCTTAAAAAGTGCTGCTGTCATTTCTTTTATATTATTATTTATCATCATCAACTTACCTATCATTGTCATCACCAATATTATCACAGGGATTATTAACAATATTATTATTGATTATTAATATTATTATTGATTAATATTATTATTGATTATTTTCCGCTATTGCAAAGAAGGTATTTTTCCTTTAATTTTCATTTCTTCTACTTCTATCCCATTACCCTGTGATTTTCCACAAGGTTTTCTATCCTCCACTCTTTGATAATTTCCATCTTCAAACTTGGTCCAAGCAAAGCATATAATTTTTTTTGTTTTTGTTTTTACTGAAATCACCCTAGGTAAGGGGTTACTTAACTACTATTTATATGCCATGAAATGCCAGCCTGTCAACAATGCAAGTTGGGGTATCAAAGCATGCCGACTGAGATTGGTTAGCGTGTGGCAACAACCAGAATGGAAACAACTGAGCCAAACTGCCTTCCGAAAACTTGAATATAGCAAAGATGTGCCTTGTAAATTATAACTGTAATTCTACATATTTTTTACAGTATAGCAATAAACTGGTAACCAAACCTTCATGTTGTATTACTGTTATTATCATTATAATTATTATTATATTATTATCATCTGGAAATTTAGGGGATCATACTGTGCAAGTTATTGGTTTAAAACATGTTTTCGTGCAAATGATTATGTGCAAGGAGTGAATTTCATTATGCTGGTGCTGCAAAGTATGGCCAATAGTTCTAATGGCTGTGTCCAGCAGGAAACTGGAGTCAAAGAATGTATGATCTGACGGAGCATGTTAGAACATAAATTTTCTTAAAATAATAGTCTTTTTCAGTTGAAATATATGCCGTATATACTGGCCTATAGCGATCTGTGTGTAAGTCGACCTGACAGAGAAGATTTTTGGACGACTTTTGTATGTCTGGCGTATAATGCAAAAACCTATTTCAGCGTCAGCAAAATTGTACAATATGCCCCCGTATTAATTGCATTCCATTCATACTAACAGTTAATAGCTGTATTTCAGTAGTAAATTTGCGTGTTACAGATGATCCGCACATAAGACGAACATGATTTAAAAATCAAACATTTTTTAGTTGTTGCGACCCCTGTTTTTCAATCGTAATTGCTATTTTAGGCCTCACCTTATACGCAAAAATTTACAGTATTCATCTTCTTAATTTATTAATGCACTCTCACTCCTTTTACATGCTAATCTAGAGTTTACTTTCATAGTACATAACACTGTCCATCATCATTTATTCATATAAGAATTCAATTTTTCAGATTGTTATTAGCCTGCATAATATCATATTTCTATACACACTTTGATTGATTGTTTTGCGGTACATTTTGAATAAATCACCAGTGGCAGCCAGACATGCTTGTGTACATTGCCTAGCTTATCTACATGACATGATTCAAGATTTTTAAAACACCAAGTAGTGGAGGTACAGGGGTTCAGCTTCTGAATCTACCTTAAATGTCAGAGGTCATGACAACATGAGTCATGTGTATGTAAGGTCAATTAGATATATTAAAGAAAATACTGTATGTATGAAGCCATATTTTAACCAATTTTCCCAAAAGTATGTTTTCAGACATTTTACATGTTTGGTACAAAAAACCTCATTTTGTGACACCTCACAAAATAAATTTAGTGATCTTGGCAGTCAAACAAAATGAATGGTATGCATCTATGCATCCACCATTGCACAGTAATACTGGAATCAACAATAAGGCAACATACTCTAGTAACTACTGTATATTCACATTTCGTATAAAATGTTACATTTCCTATAGTTTGATTTTCTGTAGATATGTTAAAGAGTACTTGATAATTTGGCATGCTAAATAACATCCACTAAAAAGAGGGATTCATGGTTGAATATATTGCAATTACTATGTCAGTATTAAGAAGTGTTCTCTAATTTGGATACAAATTTACATACTTTGCAATTGTGCAATGTTGCACGATTAACATAAACTAATATGTTAAATGTATGTTAAGAAGTGCTTTCTAATCTAAACTAATTTACAAACTAATTTATATACTAATTACATACATCAAATAGTAACTACTGTAACTCCTTCAGGAGCCATTATGGCTCATAGGACTGGAGCTTATCCCCAGTTTTTGTAGCATGAAGCGGATAAGAGGGTGATCCTCCTCCAGGGACACTAGCCATCGCATATCATTACTCCCACATATTTTTGCTGGTACCCATTGATACGGCCGGGTAGATTTAAGCAATGTAAAGTGCCTTATGCTTGAAACCACAAGCGGAATGCACAGCGAGGGATTGAAAAACACAACCTTGAAGTTAGGAAATCAAACTATTCAAACGTGACAAACCATTCTCACCCATTATTTTAGATTTTCATCACATGCTGCAATACAATTATTATGTCATCATTGACTATAGCAAACGTTTACATTAAAATGGGCTTTTTATTTCTTTTAGTAAACATTAAAAAAAATTCTTTTACTCCAAAGATAAATACTGTCACCAGTGACAGGGTGAACAATGGAATGCACTATTGAGGCCAGTGTTTCCTACCCGTGCATTATTTTTGTGCCGTTAAAGCAAGGCACTTTATCTACACTGCTTATTTCCAGTTGCCTGCTATTGTAGCAATAAAAAATCATGTGGACCCACTCACTAGGAATAAATAAATGTGCTTTGTAACTGAAAAAACAGTGCTGTGTAAATGTAAACCAATAACAAATCTTCTTGCAAATAACCCTGAAATTTGTGTTCTAATGTTCACTGCAGCAATAACTAAGATATCATTGTTATTTTAATAATTTTTAATCACTGGTGGCTATAATTAGCAGTCTATTTTGTTCATTATAAGATGTAAGTGGCAGATTTGTTTCTGCTGTTGTCTTTGGTTAATTAATAAATAATTAGTAGACTTACTTGCAGAGCTTGGCCAATAGCGCTTGTCTTCTGAGAATCTTGTTTATTTTGTGCTTCAGCTTCTATCTTACCCCATTGTTTCTCACGTTCTAACACTTTCTCTAAAACAAATTACACAGAATATATCTCATAAGATTTAAACAAGGATTTTAATATTATATCACAATGAAAAAACAATCAGCAACCCCCCCCCCCAAATAAAACTTGCAATATTGATGATAATATCAGAAATGATTCTGTTCAACAAAAAAGTGATGCTCTCTGCAACAGCTTGCTATTTCACAAGGTTGGTAGCCAACAAGATGTACACTAAAGATCATGCAGTATTTATATACTCTTCTTATCATTTCATTCATATTCAATGAATTAATTGCTACCTAGAGGATAAAGTAAACAATGTGATGGTGCTCTATAATCCACGTCTCATTATGAGGCTAAAACCGAGTTTGCATTGAATTTATTTTGACCAAGATGAATGAAAACTTTTAATGTACCGCAGCTAAAGCGGAGTTTCCCTAAAATCCCTACACACTATCGCTGATAGCTTTCGGTGATGCTGATTGGTGGGTCGAATCGGGGATCCTTTACGATTGCCTCTGAGCCTGCTACGCAGTACAGCGATTGCACTGAAAACACTGTAGCGACAATGTCACGATTGTATGGAAACTAAGCTTAACTCATACCAATTTCATTTCTCTTTTTCCGGACTTCATATCAATAGAAACATGTATTTCTAACAAATGATATCAGTTGTTCATGTTAGATTTTATGGAGACTTATTTGTCATGCATAAGGCAGTCTAAATGTGCGACCATAAAGTTATAATTGGAAAAATATTAAATTATTATAGTATGCATGCAAATGTGTAAATGCACAATGAAATTTATTAATGCACAATAATGCCGCTTTTGAAGATTTAACTGAATCACGCTGTACATATTGGGATTTTGTACATGGAAAGACAGCCTGGTTATTCTTCTCGCTGACGATTTGCTCGGTTAAACTTACTTTGCAGATTGTGAATTTGATTTAAAAGGGAATTGTTTCACACTGAATTTTTGTTTTCGTCAAACTGAGCGGGTACATAATTGAGGTTTGCCAGCACAAAACCAACATCAGTGACAAAAACATGAACATTTTAATATATTCTTATTCTCCAACTAAGATTTAAATGATGGGTAATTTTCTGGAATTGACTTATTATTGCCAAAGTTATGAGTAAAAGTATTACGGCTTCTCTGTACAGAGGTATACGATACTGGCACATTCTTATGCTAACTACTCAGTTTAATATTTAGCGACAGTATACTGGTTTTGGGACGGCAAGCCTCGATTATGATATAGCGTAAGACTGATAATGATGAAAATAATAATAATCTATAATTAAACATTTCAAGAACTCTAAATATACATTATGGAAACCAACCCAAAAAATAGTTAGGCTAAACAATTTCAATCAAACAGTAGTTGTGGATGTACTTTACCATTATGCTATACATCATTGTCTTTTTCTAAATCAATATTATTAATATCATTGTTATCATTAACATAAAAGTAATCATATAAAAATATCATTAAAGAATACTTTATAAAATAATATTTGATACATTAAAACAAACAACAATGATTATTACTATTATTGTTATTATTATTATTATTATTATTATTATAATTATCATTTTAATAATATATTAAAAAATCAATAAAAGTATTATTCACAATCTTAATGTGAATTATGGAATAAAAAAACCGTAATTCATATAATATTATAATTAGATTAATCAGATCATTAATTACAGTGTAGACATGGAAATATATCAACTGCTATGATAGAAGTACCAGCTGACACCTGCAAGTCGCTTTGAACTTATTAAATTTAAACTTTATCTACAATTAGGCAACAATTTATATCAGCAGGGAATAGCTTTTTTGTGTTATCTTCATATTGTTCAGTCTGGAAATCAAACAGTATACTTCTACTATAAATAAATATGGTTTTACATTTCACAATGATTTCACAAGATGTATCTGCTCTTAAGCAAGCACGTGAGGGAATATTGTTGAGTCTATCATGAGATGATGTTTCCATTGATGGAAATACTAATTGATTGATAATTCTCCAACAAAAAATGGAAAAAAATTCTAATAACATCATTAATGATGATAAAGAAAGTGATAGAAATATGGTTGAAAGATAATGGAGGTAATTATGATTATGAAGATGCTGATAGTGATTATGGCAAAGATGAAAATAATGATGATAATGCTGATGGAGGAGGAAGATGATAAAGATGAGGACTAACAATATTCTCTTGTTTCCCTCTTACAATTACAAAAAAATAGGGGCTGAGTAAATACTGGCAATCATGATAATATACACATATAATATGAATAATTAATAAAACAAATAATCGTAATATATATTAATAAATATTTCTATTTATAATAACACATAAAATGATAGTAGAGCGCTAGCACACTGTAGAGATAAACCATGTAATCTAGTGACTGAATAAGAGTCTTTTATACAATCCATACAAAAAGAATATTACTTCAAACACATTTGATTTCTGAAATTATTGACAATATATACAACATTTGTTAGTACTTGCTTTTAGTAGAGTGTAAAAACAATATTAATTAAAATAAATACGAGATTATTATTGAACACAGGTGAAACAAATCTATATTTTTTAACTAGTTGGTTTTTTAATCAATATTAAACATGAGCTAATGTAACTCTTGAACAATTTGTAAAGCAGGTGAGATATTAGAAGGTGATGTAAAAGCGACATTTTAATAAAATGTCACAATATCAATTTGAATAAAAATATTGATAACAAACCTTATTTTTAATGTATAAAACATATTAAAATAAGCATTCGTACTCGCTTGTCAATTGAAAATACAATCCATAATTCTATCATGTGAATGGCTGTAGCCTCATTTTCATAATATTGTAAACACACCTGGTTATCCAGGTCAAAGGTAAAGGATTAAGATGATGCATACTACCTCTTGCATATTTTGAGTGCATCCTATCCGAGCTCATCCTCGTTAGCGGCTGATGTGCAGATGGTGAAGATGGACTCCTGCGTCCGTAAGACAAGGACCTATGGCGAGCAGGTGATACCGGGCTATGACCGCCAGGTGAGATAGGGCGAGGGGATCTAGGACTACCGGTAGGTGGACCAGGTGATGGTAAGTTGGTTGATGGTACAGTCAAAGATGGTTCATCTATTTGTGTAATGAATGGTAAAGGCATGTTAACACAAAACAATGATTAATAGTGATGTATGATACATAACTGGATATTAACTGATTTACTGTATGGACTCAATATGTCTACTTAGAATTAAGAATTTATATTCTGACTGAGCCTTGATACACAGCTATCATTGGTATATCCAGGTAAGTAATCACAAACAGACAATATGTTAGAACAAAGACACAAATATAAGAATTACTTGAAGGTTGATCAGAGATGAGTCCACCCATAGCTGCAAGAAGTATGTGCTAAAAGCTCACAGCAATTCTTAAATTGTACCCAGCAATCAAAGCGCCACAGATGCTACTAAAACCATCGGGTCCTTTTACTCTGGTCAACAGACTCTAAATATTTTTATACGCATAAGATTTCAGCAGATAAAGAATTATTACGGCATTAACTTAGTGTAGACACAGAAGCTTGAATAAAGCAGTTACACATGATGTAGATTTGGTGATGCTTGTAGAACGATGACATTAAAAATTATTCTGCACATGTGCGTAAGTGCATTTTTTATGATGTCTACGAAGGAGCTGCATGCTCTGATGGTTATTGAGGTCAGCTTAGGCAATCACGATGGTTCAATACTAAAGGTATGATTTTTACATGAACATTTTGGTTGCTCAATGAAAAATACAAAAAAATCACCATCATTTTTCTTTGTATGGCTAAAAAATAATTTATACCTACTGTAATTCCAAGGCTACATCAACATTTTTCATTAATTAATATTTAATTTTTTTTGTAAAAAATGTTTGTTTGTTGTATACATAATGCCTTTCCCCTATTGCACAAAGTCTAGCTAATGTCCAGATGATCCTCTGATAATGTTATAAAGATATCATAAATGAGGCACTTAAACATGGTCAAAGGGTAAAAATTGGAAACTACTGTTAAAAAATATACATAACATTGATGGAAAACGTCAAGGTTAAAGCACTGTGAAATGATCACAAAATTGAATTAAAAATTTGTCTAGAAAATTTTGAAATGTGCATATAAAATGATTGAAATAACATGATAAAGCGGAAACAAAATATCTCTTTTACCTCTTGGAATATCTTTAGAATGTTGTATATAGTGCTTAAAATCTTGACTTAAATTTTAAATATATTCAATAGTGGACTACTGTAAATGTTCCAACAAGCACCATTCTTGAATAAGTGCTGCACCAAATGTGATTTTTTTCCCCCCCCCGCTAAGCACTGCTCTCAGACGTAACATGCTTTGATGTTTCATATCATCGAAATACAATTAAATAACCAACTTTTCTCTGATTAAATAATACTGATGTTGCAACATATCAGGCAGGCCTATGTGCCATAAATGGTACCCAATTTAGAATCTTAACAAAGCCACTCTAAAATAAGCACCGCTCTCAAATAAGGGCTGCACTGAAGACTCCAAAATTTGAAAAGCACCATAGCACTTGTTGGAACAATTACAGAATGCATTAGTTTTATGAGTTACAAAATGTTCAGTGAGACTAGAATATAGTCATCAGATTTTTTAAATGTAGCCTTGTGCATCGCTTTATCTCTACTCAATGTGAATAAGCTAGATTCAACCAGCATTAAATGATTGATGAACACAGTGCATATTATATAGTAACGAATGGATTGTGAAATGTACACAAAGATGATTTTAAATATGAATAACCATTGGTATAATTACCTTGGTTGTCCAGGTCGTCGTCAATACTGCTTTTGTATTGCCTGTTGTTATGGTCTACCATAGTAAAAGAAAATATTAAAAACATATCAAACAAACATTCAAAGTATATTCTGTAAATTCATCTAGATTAGACATGTTCAATCCAAGATTCTCAGTTAAATTTTAAGATATGATTGTTATCATAAAACATTGATTTAATATTTGTTTTATTTCTTTAGATTATGATGTCTGAAACTAGAGCTTTATTCATTCTATTCATTCTAAACAGCCCATTTCTACATTCTTTTTTGTCTTTTGATGAAACATTTCATTTGTTATAGCAACAAATGCTTAAAACTGAAGACTTACGAGAGCCAAAACATTCAGCCAATATAAATACTATTTACTTCATTTTCATGATCATAGTTGTGAATTTGTTGTTCAACAGCTTATGCACTCATATAATTATTCTTAATGCAAATGCAACGAGAGATCATATCATAATCGACTAAAATAACAGTTATTTTAAGAAAGGCCCACAAACTCAACAGTGGACATAATTTTTTTCATTCAAAATTAACAGTTAAAAAAAAAACTATATCTTGAACGACTCCATGATGATTATGTAGCTTTGCTGCTGGGTTAAAGGTCAAACTATTAACTAATGGATAAGACTTAAATTTCAGATTTGTTCTGTTCAAGAACAGCTCTCACCACTACCTCAGATGATGCAGTCATTAAACAGAATCTTGGCCCACTTTACAGGCTGTACGTAATTGTCTGTCCTTATTTATAATTTCAACAATACTGCAGATTTCCACTGATTACTGATTAGTTGAACCTTCTACAGAGCCAATTTAAGTAGTTTCATCCGTTATTCAGCCGCTCAAACAATCCATCCATCAATCTTAAAAGATTATCTACGCTATCATCTTCGCAACAGTGAAGCAGACTTTAATTTTATTCAAATCGTTTCTTTTATTTTTGTAACAATTTTTATTGACAACAAAATTCTGGAATTTAATATATCTTATATTACTTTAATATCTTCTTAATAAAAAAAAATTACATTTACAATACATTTATTTTCCTAGCCTAAAATTATTTTATAGAAAGATACATTCACTCCATGGTGTCGGGGGCTGACATAACACTATAAGCTTGTTGAATCATAGTGTGGTACACCTGTGGTGTAACACCTACTGTATGAGATCTCACTGGCTTAAGCCTGGGGCCACAGACCTAACGGTCGCCAAGATATTTGTTTGCCAGTACCACAAACTCTCAGAATCAGATTAAGGGCCCCTTAAAACTTCAATTCCCAACTTATGGGATTGTTTAAATCATTATTTTACAAGCCCAATCAAGAAGGCCTGTGAGTACTGTAGAAACCTTGTGTCTAACAAGGTGGGTTGCCGGTGTAAGACTGATTGCTAATGTGCATCCCTATGAAGTAAGTTTGGGAAGCACTGCCTTAAAGGACAGAACATGTCAAAAAACATCCTTTAAAATAATGTCAGATTGGATGAGAAGTTCCCTTTTTACCCCACCAGGGGCCTTCGAGAACTCAAGGGCCCATCGTACAGTAGTAGGGTCTAGAAAAGAGCTTAAGTGAACTCTCGTCTCTTTGTTTTCACAAGGTGGTAGACACTATTCAGCATTGGATACTCATTAAGTAACAAGAACCTGCAATTCCAAAATTTTCACTGCAGTTTTAAAAAGTGCATATTCTTATTACATTCACTATTCGATACTCAATTATAAAAATGAGCAACTCTTCTGGTTGTTTTGCCTCACTAAAGTAAAAGAGGTGGCCCAGACTACGAGAAAAACAAATGTTTCCCACAATTGGCTTTTATGTAGATTTTTGCTCCATCAACTTTGACAATGCCATATTGTATGTAATTTCTAAGAACAGTTAGTTGACTGATACTTGAATGTTTACCATTAAATACCAAAGTTATTGAACCAACAAAAGAATGCAAACACAATACTACCAGTACTTAAACAAATCAGAGGTCAAATTGAATAATAGTAAACTCGCAGATTCTATATACTGTAGGTACTGTGATAAAGTGAACATGTTGGCTACGGTTTGGCAGGCTACTACTGTATAGTCACATGAGTTTTCTTTTCATTGCCTCAACCTATTCAATTTCTGCCGCAATGCTGTTTCAGATATATTACGAGAGTGTGCTATCAAAATCTATAATAATAATAATAATAATAATAACAATAATAATAATAATAATAATAATAATAATAATAAATGGTAAAATATAGTAAACCATACTGTAATAAGAACTAAAACTATAATAAGAAATAAAAAGACAATATAACAATTTAATATTATTTTAAGTCATTTATTTTACTACAGTATGCTGCATAAAACCATTTTCATGCAATTATTATGCACCCTCGAACTAGAAACCAAGCATCAAGCTACTTCTCCACTAGTACAGCTTATACTGTCCCTCCAAAACATATTGCAAACTCTTTAGGAACACAGTGACTACAGCAAAAGTAGCACTTTGAGACTTTTTTTTTTTTATTTTTTTGAGATTTTTAGCATCACAAGTCTTTGTGTACACAGTACACTTCTTTAGACCCTGTATCACCCACTGAATAAGCGTACTGTGTACATACTGTAAAAGCTTGTGTTAATAAAAATCTCAACTAGTCTCTTAGTGACACTTTTGCTTTACTTTAAAAAAAGTACAGTTCACAATATTATTCTTCACTAACATACAGCCATACCTACAATAGGCTTAGGTAGGCAAATCAGCAGAAATATTTGTAAAGTGAGAAGAAACAAAAGTAAAAGTGTTTCAGCATTTCTGTAGGCACGCTACAGCTAAAAACAAGGCCATGCATATGGTGTATAGGGTCTGTGATTTGCTGGTACACATTTATACTTCTCGATGGAGAGAGATAAATGAAAACTGTCTTGTTCAAGGACACAAGTGACTAGCACAGTGAGGGTACCGAGCCCATGACCTCAAGGTAGGGAGACAGAGCAACAACTATTGCACCAATTGCTCCAACATCTTTTGCAACATAAATTGTTGTTAAAACTTTAAGATAAGATAAACTTTATTGATTCCATACAAGTGAATTATGAAATAATAACTTGTTATAGAAAAATTGATAGATACATATACAGAAACCCACACAGACTGACAGAACTATCAACAGATACATAGGCCTACTGTAGATAGATATAAGATGGAAGAATTATAAATGAAATATTGATTTACATTAAAAATACATCATGGAAGCAATGCTGAATTGAGATAAAATTCACAATACTACAGTGGATGGGCTTCTATGTGAATTAAAAATTAATGAACAGGATTCATTTAAAAGGTCATCTGTGATGTAAAATAGTTAAATTTCACAACACAAAATGACCCACATTTTTTTAAGTATTCATCATAATATTTTGAACAAGCAAACATCTAAAATACATAAATACAACAAAAAAGCATGCATGCACCATAAAGTCAACAGATTCGGAGATATTAAAGAGTAGGTTTATTGAAATGTATTATTTTTTAGGGGGCAGTTGACTTGAAAGAGTTTTATGGCCTGTTTGTGCTGAGCAAAAAACATATTTATTTTTATACGGTTATTAAAAACATGTTCTTTTTACAGCAGAAACATAAACACAGTTAGGAATGTGTTCTAAAAATGCATGTTTTAACACGCATTCATTATAAGTTTGGCGTTCAGAAAATATGTTTTGTGGTACACTTTTTAGCTGCAATGCAATACCGTGTTAGTCCCGTCGATGACCCATCGGTGAGCTAACTTGACTTCTTCATTGGTTCGATCGTTCGTTCGCGGGAAATTCAGGGGGAAGAAAAAATGAAACCAACAGGATAACATGCTTTAGGCTTACCATATTTATTTTCATACTTTCGCAGTATGTTGTTTACTTCTTTTGCACCATGTGCTGTAGCTCACAGGGAGAAGTTCAACTTCAAATTGCATAGGCAATCATCATCATTATTCGCGTTACCATGTTTTTATTACTTTTCACTAGAAATGTTTTCCAAAGGAATTTAACCATTTTTAAAAAACGTGTTTCTGGTGTTATTCAGCAGAAACATGCCCATAGTGAGTCATTTGCTTAAGCTGCCCCCAACCATGTTTTTGTTGTATTTTGGTCGAATAAATAAATGAAACAAAATAAAAGGTTTGCCCATTTGTTATTGTGCTGCTGCAAATGCGGCTTTTCACCGAAGGGTAACATTGTGTTCTGTAACTGTGCACATTGCTCTTTAGGCAAGCAATTTCTCTACTGTCTCATTTCACTAATAAGTCATTAGTATCTCTTGTAGGATTTGAATGATTTAAATGCACAATTAATACGACTGTCTGATTTCTGCTGAGATTTACAGTGTATGACTACAGATGACATTCCCCTGGGAGCCCTGTAGGGCTAGGACACTCACCTGGGGATATTCACCTGGGACCGATATTGGAATATGACTGGTGTATGGCTGTTTGATGTATTAATAAACTAGGGCAATAATTAAAAGTATAGGTAAAGGTATTCTGTTAAATCATTACTGAAAGTAGAGAGTAGGGGAATGAGCTGTTTAGTTAGCCCATCGTACTAAACCTCAGCATTTTGTGTAAGGTGGCCAGTTCCTTTCCACGTCGCCTTTTAAACCTCCCCAGTATTACTTTAATCAGGTACTGTACCCTTATACTCCTTTGTGGAGAAAGACATTTTATTATGTTAAAAGTTTAGTATTAGGTTCTTTGTCCAAGGACACAAGCAAAATGCACAGAGTAGGCTCAAACCCTGACCTTGAGGAAACGAAATATAACCGCTGCATCAACCGCTCCCACTTTAAAAGTATGAAAGATTTTTCCTCATAGTTATTGTATTATACAAAAAGCATTGTGAGGTAATCCAGGATAGTGCCAATTTCTTGCTTGAATCAACCCTTGCATGCTTGACTTTAACAGCACTGTTCTTTTTAGCAGCTTCCCTACTGTATAACAAAATATAGGAGTGCTGACCTTGAACATATTCAGCTGACCTCAAACCTGACTGATAATTTAACAATCTTTATAGATGTGGTTTTGTTATTTTCAGTGGGATGTACATAATGCTAAATGTAAATATAGGCTTGGCAAGAATTATCAACAGGAGTGGGCAAACATATTGGGGCTGATGTGATTTTTCATGTGAATAATTGAATCAAATGATAAAATAACAATAACATAGCAATTCAAATTTACTTCATTAGTAGTAGAAATCTAGACAGACTTGACTACTCTGAATTAAAAACATTTGAAAAATATATAAAATGTCTCAATCATAATTTGAAACAAAAGTTCTTTTGTTTACAGTTGACTTCTCCAACAATGATCTATGGATGCTCTTATATTTTTCAGTTAAAGGACACACAAGTAATTATAATATCATACAATGCTACATCATTCTACTAGAAGCGTTCATTTCCAAATTGAAGTATTTCTACATCCTGACTATTCCTCCATTCAAAATCTTATGCGTAGGAAGATATTTAAATTGTTTAAAATCAATTTTACATTATAGTCGTAATTAATATTTCCTTTATGTACCAATGCCAAGAACAAAAAAATATTCCTCATTCACATAATGAGATGTGCAGTGTAAAGAGGTTTAAAAAAATCTAAACATATGGCTATAGCTACAATACAGCACCCCGTAAAACCATTTAGGTCAGTATACTTCAATAAAAACACATTTGTACCATATGGATTCTATCTTTCTACATAAAGGTATTAAACATTGCACACAAAAAGCGACAGTTATTGTTATCATGTAAGACAATAGCCTGTTTATTACGGGGTAATTATGTTATTACTGTACTAATCCATACCTTTCACATCAAATGTTTTTGTTAAATTGTAAATAAATGGTATGAACATTATGAAAGAAAATCTGAATTTAATGGAGCATTCTGAACAAACAGTATGCATAATAATCAATGAGATTTAAACACAAGAAAAAATAATAAAAATATTTTTATTATTACACTACAAAAATAATAATTTAATATGACCATAATAAATATGATATGATGACAATATTAATAAAGATTATTAATGAATTATGATGATGAAGAATAAATAATAACTTAATCACATTAAAGGACACTATGGAATGTATATAAAATAGAAGATTTGAAAAGATACTTTGAATAAATATTGAATGTTGAGAATATTTGTTATTCATGCAGAATACATAACTCAGCAAATTAAATTCCAATAATGATCATTGGGATGTTTGTAATGTCAACAAACCTACAGAGAGCTATATTACACCTTCAGTAGCGGCACATCTGCCATTTATTATATTGTACATTATAACTTGACAAATATTTACAGCCTACTGTAACCACAGGTCGGATACTAATATTAAAACAATAAGCAAGTACTGTATGGCACATGTTTAATAATTATGTTATAATCATAAAATTTTAATTCAATATTATTAAAATATAACACTATTGAGTAAAATATTAAATTATTTATTTCAAATATATTTCAGTACTGAAATATTTAATATATAAAAAAGATGAAAATGTATTTATTATATTTGCCCATTGTTTGTTGATTTTATTAATTTCATTAAAAGGTACCTATACTGTAGATGTCTTAAAAAATGCATATTATTATTCAAATACCTTCATATGGCTTCAAATATATTATTTTTGAGTAATTTTTTTAGTTTTGTTCAATTTGATGTCCAGTAGGACTAGGAACAATCTTAGAGAGCGTGAAGGAGGTGTAGGTTTGTGTACAGTAGCTTTTTCAATGTTTTAAGAGATCAGTGTAATATCAATAGAAGTGCTTTGAGACTTCCTGTAGAAATGAAAACAACATTATTATAACCAGCTTTGAACTCAAGACAAGAAGGCAAGCATCTTATCCAAGCTACATACAGCTCAAAGCAAGAAGGCGAGCATCTTATCCAAGCTATATGCAGCTCTATATTTATAGAATCCATCCTCACGATATCAGGTTGTTGTCAAAAAATTAAATTAGAACACATATATTCACGTGCGGTTTAGAGCAGCAATTTCTATAAATATAGACAATACAATTTCAAATGAAAAAAATTGGGCTTACCCTCAGAATCATTTGGGCTATCTTTTCCTTTGTTTGGATGTAGCATCTTTGCCATCCCTTTCTGCATGGACTTGCTGGCCTTCCTACTTGCCCTCTTCATAGATGTCCCAACCTTCCTCACAACTGACTTGGACTTTTTAGACTTCTTTCCCTTATCACTGTCATCTAAGCTATCCAAGCTACCAGCTTGATTAGCAGATATGCTGGAGTGCCCTCCTGTCGAGTCTTCGGGATCAGACGATTCAGCTGAGGCACCTTCTCCATCTGCTCTGGTGGCTTCTGTAGGTGGAGATACAATGTCTTCACCTTTCAGAATAGCAGCAAGGCCACTGGCTATTGTCTTTGGAGTTTGATCTTTCTCTTCTTCATCTCCTTCTATTGTGATAGATGGACTTGCCTTAACTGGGGCATGTTCTTTGGTAGCTGGTGCTGAATTCCCACTGTGTATCTTTGGTGGGGCACTTGAATATGCACTTCTGTGAATAGGAGGAGGTGAGTCATCATCGCTCTCATCTGAATCGGACGATGAGACATGTATCCTAACATGTCTCACTGATCTCTGTTCCGAATCTGATGACTGCAAGCTGATTTTCTGTTTAAGAGGTGATTTTGGATAATGACCCTGTTTAGTTTCTGGTGGTCTGGCACTAACTATCTTGTCATGCTCTTCATCGTCTACTGTCCCATACCTGGAATGTCCACTGGGAGATTCGACAGATGATTTATGATTCAGAGACTCATAATCATCGTTCTTTTTCACATAGCAACAACACATGATACCCATCCTGAAAGAGGTCGAAGGTCAGCCAGACGATAGATATCACATAAATTTCTATAAAAATGGAAAAATAAAGCAAATTTTAATGCTGCACATTTTACAAAGAAGTAGCTAAATACACTTCAGCCATTACCAATGCATAAAATAACAACAAAATTGAAAGAGAACCGTTCTATATTTTGTTGGTTTGTGACAAATTACCCATAATTTAAAAAAATATTTTTTTAGATATATTTTTTTAATTATTTGTTTTTACTATCAATCTAACCCATTCACCATGATTACAAAATATATAGACATGGCAATGAATTTTTACATAATTTCTTAATATTAGATGCAAATTGAAAATAGCAAATTAATTTCATGGCTATCAATATAATTCAATGGCTAGCAGCGAAGCTTTGGAAGTAATACTTTCTTAGCAGTCCTTTTAAGAACCTTCCTATTAATTAAGTTTATCAATTATTCATAATTGTATATCAACTATAATAAGCACACCAGCATTTGTAAGTAGAACAGAACTAATAAATATTTATGCTGAACACACAATTACTGTACAAGAATCCAAAACTATAAATAATTACAATATACTAGGAGATACTACATAATATCAGTATAAGTGCAAATTTGTCAACGCTTTTTAAAACAGTATAATAATCCATATGTCCCGTACCCGCGCAAATAAGCACCCGGGCGCTTAAAATATTTTTTTTTGCACTTTTTGAGGGGCGCTTATTCAAACGGGGCACTTATTTAAACGGGGCGCTTATGAAAACAGAGTGGAAATTGAGGGGGCACTTATCAAAATAGATGAAAATCGAGGGGTCCTTATGGGAACTTATTAAATTCAAGAGGCACTTTTCGAATGAAAAAAGATTATATATAAGGACATTACGAATGGTGGTGCGGAAGAAAAAATAATCGTCCAGAGAACATGGTTCAGACAAGAATGCTGTGAATATTTACATAACAGCAGAAAAGCAGATGCAATGGTGGGTAGTGGTTATAAGCTAGTTGGCCATCGGCTGATTGAGATTAGCAGGATGGCAGGATCATTGCAGGTTTTCTTGAAAACTCAGATGTGAATGTGCTAAAGGTGCAAACTGTCGGAAAAAGAAAAAGAGGAGTAGGACTAGGCCTAGACAAATATGTAAGAAGAGGAAAGTTGAAAATATACTGTCTATCCAGGGATCGGAGCTCTCATCTGTCCAAGAGAAATATCCTCATTTTGACATTGACCTAAGAAAAATGTGATTCCACTCTGCAGCTCAAATCATGCCAACAACCACAGTCCCTGGATTGATTGGATTATTGACTTGCTAAAAAGAAATTATTATTATTGAGGGGACGCTTATTCAGATTAGATGGGGGTGCTTATTCGAACGGGGCGCTTAAGGAAATTTTCACGTTCACAGCGCTTATTCGAGAGGGGCGCTTATTCAAACGGGGCGCTTATTCGCACGAGTACGGTAGACATGTGCATGTATCCATAAAAGATTAATTTAACCACTAAACCTGGTTTGCCCCAAGAAAAACTTATTGCTGATAATCATATTGTACAAGTTCATTTTCATCAGAAATTTTACTTGTATTTGGATTAGTATTGTTGTGGATTATAATGCACCATGATAATAAATAATCATGAAATGACTGATAGGTTAAAGTATATATTGATTTTTGTTTTATGTGCTGCAGATGGCAATATCTTATAATACGCCTAAGAGTGATTTAAAAATATTAGCTTACTGTATCATCTATTTTCCTAGGAGGGTTTTTCTCATAAAAATCTAAATAAATTAATAAATCAAAATTCTAAAAACAAAATAAATAGTAAATTTGATAGAGGCTGTGTTGGCCTTGATAACAGAAATAATGTCTAATGAAGATATTATACAAAGTATACAGTATTTACTGTTTGTTTGTACTTTGTTTTGTTGATTTTGTAGCATGATTGTGCCACTAATGAATTTTATGTAAGGCACAATCTACTCCATAATACCTATATTTTGTAATTTTTTATAGAACTTATTCCTATGCTTTTTTTTATCTAAATGCGAGGAATTGCCTACTTAAGCATTTGCTGTTGATTCTTCAAAGTTTATACCTTCAACTTTTAATAAGCTCCTGTCAATTGTTCCATCCTTTACACTACTAATTAATAGATGAAACTTGTTATGCATGAGTGATTTCAAATTATGAATATTCATTAAAATGCAATAGCCTTCATCATACAAAGGTGATCAGGCTTTTCATAAGAAGGCATGAATCCAAACAGTATTTTTAGAAAAATCTCCATATGGATTCACCACAAAGACCTTCAAACTACGACCAAGAATTTGGTTGCTCTTCCCAACTGTGTTAAGAGATGGAGAGGTTTTCACGATCAAGCAAGCCTAATGTCAAGTTTAAGTTCTAATTTTGTTTGGTGGTTGGTAAATTTATAAATTAATGGATAAATACAGGTTTATAGACTCACCAGCATTTATTGGGAGAGGATTATCTAGATAAGTTAGATGTCTGCTATTGAATTCATTTTTGCAGAACTATAATCCACTAATCCAGACAGGTCTATAAATTCACCACACTTTGCCCAACCTTTCATGAATTACATAATTGATATCTGCTTCTATCTCTAAAACAGTGGTTTTAAACATGCACTTTTACAGTTCAGTTTCCTTTATTCGCATTATATTTAAAATGCACAATTCAATAAAAATACAAAAGCACAAACAAAGCTAATTTAAATACACAAAAAATGCAGACAATTCTGACAGCAGTTCACTTTCAATTCCTTTGTAATTTTTTTTTTAAATCTTTAATATTATTTCTTGTTTTTATTATATAAATTAATATACTTATCCATAACCTAACAACATTAATAACACAACAAATTTTGAGGCACATTTGTTTACTTTTTATGAAAACAAGCCTATTTATGGACATGATGGATGATGAGACACTAGGTAGACATATACAATAGGAAGAGATATATCTTTCTCTACACAATACAACATTAGTAAACACCTTCATTAGTTAGAGGCTCATTACCATTATCTATTCTTAATGAAATAATAAATACTGTATATCACCCATGTGTGGGTGTGTATATAATGTTTTTGCCTTAGTAATATTATTTACATTATGAAAATTATATTTTTATTCAATACATAATAATAATATAGTATGTCAATTTTTAAATGTTATGATACATTAAAACTGACATATATTATAAATATTATTATTTATATACTAAATAATAATAGTGTCAGTAATTGCATCATGACAATCATGACATCAAGCTCTCAATGTCATTTACATTACAGTGTAACTCCATTTGGATGAAACACCTATGAAACACATTCTCTGCCTCCCTAAAGATTAATTCCTTAATTATAGCAAAATTTCATGGACACCAACCTAAATAAATACAGTATTATTATATGAGATTATATTATATTGTATAGTCATATTGAGAGCACAGCCTATAATGGAGTGTTAATGGTATCATGCATGATTATTATTTGTTTTTCGATGATAGTATAATAAAACATCAAGGCAAATTTAACTCATGAAATAACGACACGACGCTAGAACGGAATCATCCATGCGTGACCGCCCTACCTGGCGTCCTACGTTCTCTGTATATGTAGTTTTGGCCAAATTGCATTTCAGAATCTGCTCGACAAGGTGACCTTAATGTTCTCGCATACGCAGATGACTTTTAGTGACATCATTACGTTCTATGCCCTACCATCATCGTGCAATCAAAAAGCTCCCTAATGTTACACTTGAAGGACAAGATTCTATGCGCTTCACATTCATAAGAATAAATAATTGAATACTTGAATAAATGGCACAACCAAATGCAGAATCTCTAAGGGGGTAACCATCCGCCACCACCTTAATTCATAATTTGTTTTACTCAAATAAGACACTGATAGGTAACAAAGGGAACATGTCCCTGTACGCAGTATCTACAGTTATCAGAAAAATGTATAACACTGTAACAATTAATGAATAAATGGCACAAAATTAATAGTATGTTATACTTAAGTTGGTAATCAATGATAATAAAAAAAAAATAATAATAAAATAAATAAATAAATTAAATTAAAAAATACATAACAAGTAAATAAATTTAGCAATAGATAAACAAGTGAATATTAAATAAATGAATAAATAAATAAAGCAAGTGGCTTAGAGCAGGTGGTCAACAGCAGTTTGGGAAGAAGAGACGGAGGAAGATAAATGAGTAGCAATTGGGAGTCTGTTCCATATGATTTGAATATCGTGAAATAAGAAATCGTGAAGGGCATTGCATTGAGCAGGGGGAAGGTGAAGTCTGAGATATGTGGTCAACGTGTATTAAATGAAATATACTTTTAAAGAGAATCAATTTTAATAATACTACTAATAATTTAATCCAGTCCCAGACACCTACCTGGTGAAATTCTAATTTTTGGAAAATATATTTGGCTATGGGTTACTACTCCTTGGCATAGTTCAAGATTTTTATTGTTGAAAATAATAAATAAAAAAATTTCTAATTTAGAAATTTTTCCATAATTGTTTTTTTATTTTAAACAAGTTCTCTGTTTTTTCCATGTAAAATGGGACCCTAATAGAAATAAGCCTACATTCTTGTGTCTTCAAATTATGCTGTATTCCTATGTTTATTTTCAATGTCTGCAACAGTATGTTTTTCATATAAATATAAGAATACGGATAAATTATCAAAGGAATGAAATACACATTTGCTCTATACCACCAACAGCCTGATACTTAGGGATGGTGGCCGACACAGGTTTGACACCCAAATGAAAATGCATGTAAAATTCATGTTGTAAAAAAATAAATTTTTAGAAGATTTTTGCAGACACTGGCTGATTTTGATGAAGACTTGATATAATTCATATATTCAAGGTCTATATTCATTCATTCATAAAAAAATATATATATACAAATCACAAACAGTATGTATTCCAATTGTTGCAAGTTAAAAATTGAAAACTGAACACGGCAAAATTAAAGAAATTCACGACACATACATGTATTAAAAAAAAAAGACATTAAAAGGCAAGTAACATTAGATAAAAAGCACAGCACCAGATATAAAACCTAATTAACAAAGCTAAAAAAGGAACAAATAAAAAGGGCATATAAAAACACATTAATTATAAATTGAATAAAAGATTGCAAAAACAATTTACATTTAAAGACACCAAAAAACCTTGAATAATCTCGAGAAGAAGCCCATTTTCAAGATAGCATGGGCTTCTTTTCATGAATTGCAAAGAAACAAAATAAATTAGTAGTTTAGGTGATTGCCAGTTAATACACTCCATGATACATATTGGTGTTACAGTGGCCCTATTTATTGTTTTATACAGTAGTAGTAATTACCAAAATTTACAGCATTAATTTTGAAAAGAAGTCATCCTCCTTACTTTGCAAAATTAGCCTCGAAAAGAAGCCCATCCAAAGTTGAAAAAAAAGAGAAGCACAAGGCTTCAATTTGTATTGCAGAGGTTAGATGAAGAAGACATGAAGGCTCAATCACCTTGATTTACTTGCCCCTCTGACTCTCTAACACAAAGTTTCTCACATCTTTTAAGGATCAATTTTGCTTTCAGAATGTTTGATTGAAATTTATATTTCATTGTGAAATAATAGAATATCATGTAGTGTGACTCTGTGCGAGAGTCAAGGGCGTCGATCCAAACTTGAAGGATGTGGGTGGGGGAGACGAACAGGAATAAAACCTTAGGCTGTATGCTCACGCTTTAGGTGGGGCCACTTAATTGTGAATAGTGGGTACTTTGGGGGGGGGGAAATGATATGACAATATTCCTCCAAAGGTCGGGGGAGGGGAGCGTATCCCCCTGTTCCCACCAATTGACACCCAAGGTGAGAGCAGTGTGAGAGAAAAATCCTGGCAGGTTGAGCTTTCTATCTACTCTTTTATCTGTGTCACATTGTAGGCATAGGCGGCTAGGCTACGACAACTCCTTTACCTAACCATATTTCTCCATGACCAAAACTAGAGTCTAGGCCTAGACTTGACACTAGGCCTAAGCCTATAATCCAGCCTAGCCTACTAGGCTCCTAGCCTAGGCTAGGCCCTAGGGCCTACCCATCTTCGGCAGGCTATCTCCAAAAAGGAAAGGGTCCTAAGTAGAGTAACACCACCAAAAATGAGACAGAAATGCAATTTTAGAATGTCTTAAAATAAAATATCATCATACCTTAGCCAACTTTTCCCATTCCTACAGAAGATGTCCTGGTTTCCCGATTTTTCTCTGATCACGATGCCTCAAAACAGTACCAGACAGTCTGTTGTCTGTTGTTGTGTTACAGCAGTGATTCGCCGCGCTGCTGCTGCTGTGTGGCGGTTGTGTGTGTGTGTGGTGGTGGTGGTGGTCGAAAAAAGAAAAGAAGAAAAGTAAAAGACCAAACGTTGAGGGCGCTATGTATTTTTTGTGCACGGAATAACAAAACTACGCTCGCGACTCGGGTGCCATGGTACAAACAATTCCGAAGTCAAAATAGTGGTAGGCTTAAGGCTGAGGCCTTTTGCAAAATTAGCCTCGAAAAGAAGCCCATCCAAAGTTGAAAAAAAAGAGAAGCCCAAGGCTTCAATTTGTACTGCAGAGGTTAGATGAAGAAGATATGAAGGCTCAATCACCTTGATTTACTTGCCCCTCTGACTCTCTAACACAAAGTTTCTCACATCTTTTAAGGATCAATTTTGCTTTCAGAATGTTTGATTGAAATTTATATTTCATTGTGAAATAATAGAATATCATGTGGTGTGACTCTGTGCGAGAGTCAAGGGCATCGATCCAAACTTGAAGGATGTGGGTGGGGGAGACGAATAGGAAAAAAACCTTGGGCTGTATGCTCACGCTTTAGGTGGGGCCACTTAAGAAGTTAAGGCCTCAGTGGGGCCCACAAACAAAGACCTGGTGGAAGCTCTGGAGTTACTAGCATTTTATAAGTCATATTTAATTGATTTTAAATTAACAATTTACAATTAACATCATCTCCACACTACATCGACATAAAAGGTGTTTTAATTTACCTGGCATTCATGATCAAAAGCCCACATATATTTTTGCAGACTGAACATCGTAAAAAAATAATGATTTACCTTTTGTCATTCGTAATATTCTCTCTACTCACTTTAAAAAGTGGGGTTTTAACTAGAACTATAGATGAATGGTGAATAGTGGGTACTTTGGGGGGGGGGGGGAATTGATATGACAATATTCCTCCAACTTTGAAATGTCGGGGGAGGGGAGAGTATCCCCCTGTTCCCACCAATTGACACCCAAGGTGAGAGCAGTGTGTGAGAGAAAAATCCTGGCAGGTTGAGCTTTCTATCTACTCTTTTATCTGTTTCACATTGTAGGCATAGGCGGCTAGGCTACGACTACTCCTTTATCTAACCATATTTCTCCATGACCAAAACTAGAGTCTAGGCCTAGACTTGACACTAGGCCTAAGCCTATAATCCAGCCTAGCCTACTAGGCCCCTAGCCTAGGCTAGGCCCTACCCATCTTCGGCAGGCTATCTCCAAAAAGGAAAGGGTCCTAAGTAGAGTAACACCACCAAAAATGAGACAGAAATGCAATTTTAGAATGTCTTAAAATAAAATATCATCATACCTTAGCCAACTTTTCCCATTCCTACAGAAGATGTCCTGGTTTCCCGATTTTTCTCTGATCACGATGCCTCAAAACAGTACCAGACAGTCTGTTGTCTGTTGTTGTGTTACAGCAGTGATTCGCCGCGCTGCTGCTGCTGTGTGGCGGTTGTGTGTGTGTGTGGTGGTGGTGGTGGTCGAAAAAAGAAAAGAAGAAAAGTAAAAGACCAAACGTTGAGGGCGCTATGTATTTTTTGTGCACGGAATAACAAAACTACGCTCGCGACTCGGGTGCCATGGTACAAACAATTCCGAAGTCAAAATAGTGGTAGGCTTAAGGCTGAGGCCTAGGGCTAGCTTAGAACATTCCATGAGTAAGTAAATATTAACGTGGAGAATTGTAAACATAGGTGTTTTATCAAGTTTAACACAAAACCCATATTTGTGAGTACTGTACAGCCTTATTTAAAAAAAAAATGCTATGTTAAGCTCTGCTAGGCCTAGCTAGGCCTAGGCTAGTCTACTACTAGACTAAGCGAAACCACCACTATGGGCCATGGCGAAACTAGGGCCTAGGCCCCTTAACAAATTCGCCCACTAACAAACTCGCCCATAGCCTTTTTCTGTCGTCAGATTAAAAACTTAAAAAAAAATAATACAGTAATTTGCCTATTCAAATAACGTTATTTTGACTGCCAATCCTGTTGTTTGTGGTGCTGTGGAAGCACATTCGGGACCACACTAAGCAATAAGGTATCCGATCATTTCGGTCGCGCTATTTTGGTTATGCATTTCGGTCGCGGTGTATGGAGCGCCGAAGGCGCGACCGCGAATGTATATAAGATATCCTAGCAGTATAGGCCTGCCGTTCGTTAAGCACGAAAACAGTCATTTTTATTTTACTACTTTTTGACTAATTGGATACTTGGACTTGGAGTATATTAAACTTTCCTATCTGAGATTAATCTGGACCTTTCGGTTTTCAAATTATATATTGTTAAAATAAAAACGTATGTACAAAATATGTTAAAATGTGGTTTATTTATGTTTAAGATTGACTTTTTTATACCTTGTTTAAAATTATAAATTGTTAAGTAAAAACATGTATTCTAATGTATGGCAATCCAAATTTGTTCGGAGCACTCCTGTTACCTCATTAATATAGGTCGTACCTAATAAAATGCTTTCAGTTCGACCTTATATATATATATCGCTAATCTTTAGTAATAACTCCGCTTCCAGTGTTAAGTTCTAGTTTAATAATGGACCGTCATCGATTAAGGGTACTCTTGTCTCTCGTATTATTAATGAATTTTCTTGTACTGATCGTTATTTCATTAAATCTCTTTTTTATTTTAAGTTGTATTTTAAAAATAATTGTTTAAATCAAGGTATATAATGTGACAGTGTCAAATATCTTTTATGTATTAATGATTTATAGTATTTATAATTTATTACCACCATTTTAATTGTATTGTCTTTGATGGTTTTTAATGCACTGTTCTGTACATATTGCTTCTCCCTCGGGTGTTTTGTAGGAATAAATAAATAAATAAAAAAGATATGTTAAAAGGTATGGTTTATATATATTTAGGAGAGATTTTGTATGCCTTGATTAGCGAAACAAGGCGACTGCCGATGAGTAATTTTAAATAAAAATGAAATTGATGATGAATAAACGTTTTTAATTTACTACAAGAGAGAAAATAAAAGATACAAGCAAGTTACATTATTGCATTTTTTTTGTATTATATTGTGTTGTGTTCAATATATAAGGCCTATATATTTTATTAGGCCTTTTTAATCTTTTTGTAATTATATTATGTTTCTTATACTGTACTGCATTTTAATGTTTATAATATTTTTTTTAATTATGTAAGAATTGCGATATTGTATTTTTGTTGTCATGAGGAGAGCCCCTCGACAGTAGATCTTCTACTTTTGGGCAATCCTGCCACATGACAACAATTACTATTTTTGCAATTTTATATTTGTATATTTTATATATTTATATTTATTTGGCGAAATAAATGAAATGAAATCAAATGAAATAAGGTACTTTTTTTTTTATAATGATTTCTATATTTATCATTGCCATTTTCTCTTTATGCACGATTTAATGATGTAGATTGCTTTCTACTGATGACATGATTTGTATAACATTTTCTTCTTTATTTTCTAATTTTATAATCTAAAATTTTATAATTGCAGTATGTTCAAAGCTATAGGCTATATTTTAAAATTAAGCTATAAATGTGTAGCCTAATTTAGGCGGCCTCCCTTTAGAAACATTCAGAAATTCAATAATTAATACTACTAGGCCTATAGATACTGTAGCTGTACACATCACTTTTACTTCTGGGAACTGCAAGAAAAAAAAAACATTGGTTATAAATATACAACACTACATAATAATTGTACCTAAAAATGCTAAAATTTAAACTAATTTCAAAACAATAACAATCGTAAAAAAAAACATAAATAATAATCAAATCAAACACTTATCCTCCTTTTAAGAGCCTAATAATCTGAAACTGAAACGAATACAAAGTAAAATTTATTTAGAACACTACCGAATTTACTTTCGAAAAACATTGTAAATAAGCTAGCTTGTACATCGGCGTTCCATACCGCGGCTGTGAACCGCGACCGAAATGCATAACAATAGGGCACGACCGAAATGCAGGCGCGACCGAAATGATCTGTATTCAGTAATAAAAACTTCCCTGTGAACTTACAAAGTGTATTTTTTATCGTTTGTTGCGATATATATTTTGATTGCATGTTCATTAATGCAATTAATGCTTAAATTAAATTAAATGGAGATCGTGAAAAAAGTATAGTCACTAGATAGTTTTTCATACGTTTGTTTCCTTGTCACGCTCATTTACCGTATTGTTCTGATCATGTTTAAAATTGGCCTATATATAAATAAATGAAAATGTACTGAATGATATATGATGAATGAAAATAAAGGAAATATATAGTATTAGTAGGCCTATTTATTTTTCATATTTATATTTGCCTACCGGTATTTATTTTTCATATTTATATTTTCCATATAAAATGATCAGTTGCATAACTAAAGTATAATTCCTGCATATATTGGGCCAATTAAATTATTTACAGAAAAATAGGCCCTGAGCTGTTTAGTTCCTTGGCCTGTGCTCTATTTTCTGAATAAGGAACATGGATGTCATGTTTTTTTTTAAATTTCCATAGAATTCGAGCCAGTTCAAATTATTAGGATGAAGCTGTACATCAGAAAATATCTAAAGCAAATTTGAAGTATCGAAAAAGAAAAAAGTATGGGAACAGGAAGCTCATTTGTAAGGGGTGATGCCGGTGAGGGTGGGGTTGTAACAAGAATACCGAATGAGGTTAAACCCCGCAGAACCCTTCTACCATCTCGCGGCTCACTGACACTTGGACGAAAAGGGAAGGGTGCGAGTATGAGATCAGCATTATCCGTTGAGTTAGAGAACACTGAGCTTGATCGTTTACGGAGGGATTTTGAAACTTACAAGTATAGCAAGCAAACAGAAGTTGCTGACCTAGCCAAAAAGGAGAAGAAATTTGAAAGTGAAAATCGACGCTTACGTGCAGAGTTACAAGTAAGTGATTTTAGTTACTGTTGTCTTTTGCGAGGAACTTCAGTGGAATTCTTATTCTAGTTTTGTACAATAATTTGCATTTGATATTTTTGTGTGTTATTTCATAGGCACTTCAGAAAACATGCAATAAATTAAGAGTCGAGAGGGACTTAGCGTGTGACTCGGAGTATCAAGCTATGGTCAGGGCTAATATATTTGAACAAGACAGGGATAAAGTTCAGCATAATTTCAAGGTACTGTAGAAGCAATTGTTAGGGGCCTTTTATATCAACATTTTGCTTTATTGACTTTTTGGAATCATGTGTTATAATTTACTTAGATGTAATTTGTAATTTGGATCATTTTAATTATTTAATTGTAACTTTGATATTGTAATTCAATTTGTAAAAATTTAATTCTTTCAATTTTAGTGTACCGTATAAGCCGCAAATTTTATACGCATTTTCCCCCCGAAATTTGGGGTGTGGCCTATACACCAGTCATCAACCTACTCACAAAAATTTGAGGTTGTGAACCGCTGTGAAATCAGGCGCCGTCTGTTAGGTTAGGCCCAGGCTAGCCCAATTAATTAGCCTAGGGTAGGACCGGTTTGTCGGCCTAGTATTTGTAATTATACTCACTATAGTACTGTACTAGGATTCCTATTACGTTTTCTAAGACATCCTCTTATTAATAGGTCCATGATCCAAGCAATGGTTTGGGTTGTCTAAATAATTATCTTCATATTACTGTACGTTCATTCATAAACAACGTTTGGAACATGTTGTTTCTGTTTTAATCCGCTTTGTTATGTAAGTTAAGTAAAAAGCTTCATTTACGTCGTCGCAACAAAACACACGTGGTTGGTGGTGAACTGGTTGAAACTTGCTGGTGGCTAGTACCGTTATAGAAAAAATGATACCGCTATGCAGTATTATGATTTTATAATAAAAACTTGTGAAATTAATATGTGCTATAAAAACATGAGTTTTTTTGAAGTTTTAATTGTAGAAAGGCATACATCATCTGCCCATGCGTAAACTTCGTATTTCTCAGTTCTGTTTTGTTTATAAAACATGATGCGTGATGATGCATGCTTCGCACAGTGGGCTGTGAGTAGTAATGACTTAGGCCTAGAATTACCAATATTTTTTATCTTAATACCGGCTGTTATATAGTCATCATAATAATAGAATGATTGATTGAAATAGATAAATATACTCACTTAGTATTTTATTGTACAGTATTAGATTTGATTAAACTAAACTGATATTCAAAATTTAACGCAGCACGACGGCCATCTAGCGTGAAAATGGGGATTTCCCTATAGTAAGAATAAGTTGTTTCATTGCAGTTAGCCAGAAGTATACACGCATTTCCAGTCATTTGTTGTTTAATAATCAACCAATTAAGTTGAAATTTCTTTATTTGAACATTTGTAAATAATGTCAATGTTTCAAAATAATTAAAAACTTAACATTATGGAAACGGTTTGGAGCTTGAAAATAAGTGCGACTTATACGCAGACGACACAAAAAACCTGATATTTTGTGTACTATTAGGGGTGCAGCTTATACACAGGTGAGATTAATACACCAGAATATATGGTAATTTTTTATTCATGTACAAATAATTGCAATTCAGCTTCTTGCTGCGAATGTGACTTTTAATGAACATGAAAATGTGCTTGACATTTTTTAGATTTTTAGAGAAACCAAGGAGAGCGAAATTCGTGACTTGTTGAAATCTCGTCGTGACCTTGAGGTAACCCTACAGAATGCAAATGTTCCACATATTAGTGTTAAAACACCATCTGCTCAATCAACTACAGATACCAATGGTATGGCCATAATACATAATTAAATGACATACTTATTACATGTGTGAAAGTGTGTGGTGCTAAAAGACGGGCACACACTGCAATGTCATAGACCGACGAATCCATCTCTGCTCTTTTTGAGCACTTAATAATGCAATGCCATCTGGTGGTTACCGGTGGCAGACTTTGATCGTCATTAAAAATAGTCCATTGCACACGCCTCATTGCATTCTCCATGGAACCAAATCAGTAGTGTGTGACCAGCTTTAATAATAATAATAATAATAAGATTTAATCAGCGCACATCTCCACTAAAGTGCTCAAGGCGCTTGTGAAAACCATAAAAAAAGCTTATCCTTTTAAACTAAAGCTTTGCATTCAAAAGGTTGTGAATTTGAAACACTTTATTGTTGTTTCACCCCAAGAGTAAAAATGTTTACCTCTTTAAATTTGAATGATGTAAATGAAACTTTTACAACTAGGAATACATCCCAGTGTATTTAGTCAGAAGAGTTGAACCCATGACCCTGGAATTTTAAGGATGCCCACCTTAACCTTAAAGCTACCGTAATTCCACTTTATGCTTATTTCACTTCTTGTGAGTTTACTGCATTTTTCACACTGCTCTCATCAGCCATTTCTGTACTGAAGTTATACTTATGCTTTTTCCAAATAGGCGATACTAGTAATGTAGGTGATTGGTGGACAGCTTTGGAGAGTGAGCCCTCTCTTGGTAGTACAACACAGTTACAGTCTCTACATTTACGGGGACCAGAATTTGCCTATAATCGTGGTGACAATGAAAGTCCTGTCATTAATATTAATAATGGTGAGCTATCGAAAGTATTTACAGTATAATGATTAAGATAGGATATAAAAGCAAATTGTTGAAAATACATTTTCTGCAATGTTTGTTAATTATTTTGACTTGAAAATTAGTTTTAAAGATACTGATCAATTGCATATGATTATAAGTAACGATTGTTCATTACCTTAATATGTAATACATTGGCATAACTTATGAATATTCACTTAAGTTCTGTATATAATTTTAGTTAAGAAGGGTGAGGTTTTGGGGTTTTTTTCTTGTTTGTATTGAAGATGGATTGGAGCGCAACACCCGAAACATGTTTATTATTAAATCCCTAGGTCTTTTCTTAAAATGTGTTGTGTTTTTCAGTAATTAAAGTCTGTTTGGGTTCATTATTGAGGACATCAGTTTGAAAGATCTGCCTATTTGTTTATTCAGGAAGTACGAGAAGATATCTTTACATTTCATCAAAGCTAAACTCTGTTATAATTTTATATAACTGATTAATTAATAATAATATTAAATTATTGAAAAATCTCACCAGAAAAAGAACATTTTTCACAATGTATTTTGATAATGTTGATTAATTAATAATCCCTATTCATAGTCAAATCGTCTTTCTATGTCATATTTTTCATAAAATATTTCAACAGAGGAGTTATTTTTTTTTTTAGGTGACTGGCAGGGAATTTCTCACAGCATGCTAACACCATTCTATCAAGAAGTTGAGTCTCGCGTGATAACTGTTTATTTAAGTGCTCCTAGTAATATGCAAGCTGAGGTCGATATTTTTAAAATGGTAATTTTTTTTGTAATAGTTTAATTTGAATCATTTACGTTCTAACAATTTTAAAAATGAATTTTTCATCTTTGGAATAACTACAAATAAAACTAAAACTAAAAAACATGGTTTCTCTTTCCTTATTTTGGGTTATCTTTTTATTCGCTTATGGTTGCGGACTGTGACAATGATACAATAGTCTTTACTGGACCTTCATTTTAAGTCCTTATCCAAACCAAACCATGGGCGAGAAGCATCTCAAGCTAGAACCAATGTTGAGGCTGGAGTTAGTGGCCACCTGCCTTTCCACGGGGCCAGTTGACTCGCGCTATCGTAGCAATAAGAGGAATTGAATTAAATTGTAATGATATGATGCAAGGCCTTAACAGCTGTATAAGACTAACGTTATTACTTCCTACAGGAATATGAATCGGAGCTTGAACATCTTTGTGAGATGGAAGGACGCTTCTTTCTTCTTGTCCATTTTACTGTAGATAACCCAAAAGAATTGACCGATGATGACCTGTTAAAGCAACATGATATAAGACAAAGGCAACTCCAACAGGCTACAATGTTTCTAGCCTTTTTAGGTGGCCACACTGACAGGTAATGCTTGTTTTTAGATTTAAGTCAAGGAGAATCATAATTAAACTTTTTTCATGCACCATTCCAATACAGTTAAACTTGCCTAAGTCGAATCCAAAATGGCATTGAAAAATTGTTCGATGTAGACAAAATTCGACTTACAGATTGTTAATTACTGTGATGGAAAACACAACATTTTGGCATGTAAAATAAGGTCGACTTAGAAATTATTTGAGATAGGCAAAATCAACTTAGGCAAGTTTAGCTGTATACAGATAAGATAACATACAGATGACGGAGTATTCAAACACAAAAACTTTATTCAATTCCTTGCACTTGCTACTTCAAATTATCAAAGCAGCTCATTAATTTCCTATATTTGCAAAGCATCCAGATTTAATAATGAAACAATTCATCATACAGTAAGATTATAAACGTGGTATGTAAGCGAGTAGTAATTACAGGGGTGGTGCCAGCGGGGGGCCAGGGGGGCCGAGGTTTGTGTAAGTATTTGATGTCTCAAAGTTGACATCAAAATGTAAGGGTAGACTTTGCACATTCAAGTGTAACAAAGAAAAGGTGTTGGTATTGAAATTACATAATTGTGAAATTTGTGCTGTTATATTGCATGTGGTTTATAATTAATTTATGGTTCTTTAAGTTTTCTAGTCTGATGTTATGGTATCATATAGAACAATATATACACTATGCGATAACAATGAAACTTACTCTTCATTTTATTCTACAGGTTTACAGCAGATGAGTACAGTATAGCCCACCTGATGAATCCTGGAGCTAGGCCAGCAGTATTCTGTTTCAGAAACCCAGCCTACAGAAAGTAATACATTTGTTTATTGCTATCTATACCAGCTTGAAGTAGAATTATTATTGCAATAAAATGTAAATGTAAAATTAATGATATATAAATTTGTTTGTCAATTTTATTTGCTTACAGTTGCAAAGGTCATGACAGCGAAGCTAGTAAATTGAAGGAACTTGTACATGAGCGGGGGCGCTGTAAAATTATTGGTAACTATGATGACCCAAATCAGGGTGCTAAAGAAGCCTATAGGGAACTAACAAGGCTTCTACGACTAGTAAGTAAAAAGAAAACATTTTAAAAACCAAACAAATTTGCTTGGTCTCTTCTGAAGAGTGTAACACTCTTCAGAAGAGACTAAGCAAATTGTATAGCCTGGGAGGTATAACCAGGGAGGTTATAGATTCAAGATTTTCAAGATTCAAGGTTTATTGATTAGTAAAAACAATACGTATGGAGGTTGCAGATCCATACATACATAGTCACTAAAAAAATAGTGTTTGTTATATTATTTTCTAAATTATACTATTTTTATGTACTGTTAATGCACATTTTGATAGATTAATATATTGATTTTTGGTTATCAGGAACTAGGCTTGCCAATGGATGAAAAGAATGGTGGGATGTTGGAACATGAATTGCAGAACTCTGTCTCGGATGACATGTGTATAACCTGGGATGCGTACAACAATGCTGACCAACTTGAGGTCTTTGAGCTTGCTTTGGTGTCAACTTGTGAATTGGGCTTTGAAAAGGTTAGGCTACTGATGACCTCATAGTGATCACTAATAATATGTATAGTAAGATTGGCTAGCTGCCTCCATTCTTAGACACATCAACTACTATCAGGGTAAAGCACCAGCCTTTGTCCTTTAGGCATGAAGAAATTTCTTCTGGCCCTTTTTTATTATCAGACCTACATTTAGGCAAGATTGCCCTTGTCACTAGGCTCAACTGACCTATTTCTAGACATCATAATTATCTCTGCTATATTTAATCAAACTGATGTATTTTATAAAAGAGATTAATACATACATAATACATTGATTATAATGTTATTATTACTAATACATTGAATGCCATTGACTAATACTCTAAACCTTTTGTGTTTGTTATTGTAACAGCATTATGAAAGATTAAATGATCATGTAATAGCTGCTGGTCCATTGCCGCCGTATTTAGTTTGTGGTCCGTCTGGCTCAGGGAAGTCTCTCCTCCTGGCTAAGTGGATTTCTCTACAGCAGAAGCATGCAAGGTCCAGCCTCATCTTGTACCACTTTGTAGGCTCAATGAAGTCGTGTAGTGCTGATGCTGTGAATATGATTAGGAGGATGACAGCTCAGGTATGTCAACAGTACTTTATTGTTGCATGTTTTTCATTGTTGTCACAAAAGTGGCAATCATCAATTCAAATCTTTGATGTGTTTTTGCCAACAAAAACACTTCTCAACCGTTTAAATATTCATTCAGATGCAAATGCATTATGTGACATTTGCTGGTTCTGTACGGCCAATTTCAGCACAGTGCGGTTGACACATGGCCAATGCGTATCACAGAATTTGTTGTTGCTTGACCTTGTCCACAAGTCATGGTGGGATGTTGTGAGGGGGACCTCTGCAGATTAAACCTCAATCCAGAATTGTACCACCTTGTCTGGCAGGATACACACACCTTACAGCTAACTGTACAGCCTTTTAATAATCTTAACCTTGTGTGCGGGGAAAATAGGCTTTAAATATGATGATGGTGATCATTTTTCATTGATAACTAAACACACTTGTACATAATGGAACCTAAACATTTTTCCATCAGCTCTTACAGTATGTAAGTTCACCCCCTCCATTAACCTCTGACCCAGCAAGACTTCTTGAGGAGTTTCCAAGGTGGCTTGAACGAGTTTCAACCAAGTTTCCTGGTGGAATCATTTTAGTAATAGATTCTATGGAGCAATTGCAAGTAAGAAGATAGGCACTATTTTAAATACAGTATGCGAGCTATGACATCTATATTTTAATATCCTAAAAACATCTTACAATATTCATTTTGTCCAGTGACCAACAAATTACTTAAAGTGAACTACATTATTATAATTGATTATAATATATATTTTGTTGTTGTGAATATTTATGTTTATTGTATAAAGATTGAATTTTTTGTGTATTTTAGTGTTTATAAATGATACCAAATAATGATATTATTATTATTATTTTCAGGATGCCGAGTCCAACATGCAGTGGCTACTGGATCCTCTCCCTGTGGATGTTCGTGTGATTGTCTCGGTCAGTGCTGATGCCCGCCCACAAGCATGGAGGTAAATTTTTGTAACTTTGATCGATCAACAGGAATATATAAAGTAAATGCCAATATCCATGGCAAAATACAATGTTCAATGACACCATGAAGTCTGTATTTCTCAAAGTGCACATATTGAGAATACTTATATTGGTCCTAAATTAAACAAACAATTTATAATACCAGTATATATAATATTAATATGTGTATAAAACATATAAACACATGTAAGAATAAATAAAATCTAAAGACAATAAATAATACATATCATGACTATTTAAATTTATTTTCTTTGAAATTATTCTGAAATTATAATATAATATAAAAAAAAATGTTATTCTTCAGATCGTGGCCAACTCTTCACCTTGAACCTTTAACACCAAAGCATGTCAAAGAACTTGTCCGTGCCGAGTGCAATATTAAGAATTTCAGTTTGTCTAGCGAGCAACAATCGCGCCTACTTTCTCATTGCCGGATGCCTAGCACTCGGTTACCACTGTATATTATGGTACTCATTGATGAGCTTATCCACTTTAATCAGACCATCATTGACTTGGACCAGAAACTTGAGGTTTGTCTTAAGTACGCAGACACCATTGAACTCTATAGACATGTACTTGAGACTCTGGAAATTGAACATGAAGGTGTAGCTAATAGAGGTCTTCTCAAGCGAGTATGTTGACATTTTTGGCATTCCATTTATTTCATTTTATCAGTTTTGGTTTATCGGCATTCATCCTCCTATTTTTAGATGTAATCACATCTTAAAATATATCTGCATAAAATTGAACTTTAATGTTCTGTCCATAATTGCCTAGAAGTAAAATTAAATTACAATTTGTTTTTATGTAGATAATGCAAATTATATGCTGTTCCCGCAACGGTATTGCAGAGTCAGAATTATTTCATCTGGTTCCAGAACTAACATGGTTGTTTTGGGCGTCACTGATGTACGACCTCATCAATAGGCACGTCCTCAATTATCGTGCAGGATTGATATTCTTTGCACATGAACAGGTTTGTTATAATTAACGCAAGAGTTTTAGAAATTATCAAGAGAAGTGATATTGATATGTATATATTTTGTACAATTATGTACCTCTTGCAAATTAAATGATTTTTAAAGAAAAAGGCTATGCAAATATAGTAATATAATAAACAACAAAACAAACACAAGACCAAGTAATGAGCAATTTAGGTGTAGGAAAAGAAAAAAAGAGAGCCTAATGTTGGTTTTTGTCAGAGCTTGGACGCTGATGTAGTGTATTGCTTTTTGGTAAACCGTCTGGCAAACCAGTTGAAAGTTTCAACTTTTTGTTGTATGGATAGCAGTTTTCTGTGTTTTATATTCATCAGCACAAAAAACATAGTAAAACAGAGTTTTATAATGTAAAAAACAAATGGAGCTAGAGGATGATGCCATCAAATAGTAAAAAATACATGATAAAGTTTTATTGGTTGCTTTGTTTATGTTTATTTATAAGGTAAATGAAGCAGTTCAGATCCGTTATTGTATGGGAGTCCACGAGAAAGAACTCGCTTCTGCAAATCAACTCCTTATTGATCACTTCTCAAATTCATTAAGGTAAAGTTCCATCTTAAATTTGTTGTTAAAATTAAATTTGTTGTTAAAATTAATTCACAAGAAAAAAGCCATGAAAACAGTGAAAGTAAATAAATAATACAGTATGATGTGCCACAAGTCTCTAATTTATTGGTTTTTTCTAGTGTTAAAAACTTTTGGAGAGTGCCATCAGCATCTGGTTGAATCAAGATGCTTTCTATGTTGTTGAATTTGGCTCAGAAAAAGTATAGTATGGAATGCCATTAGTGCAAAGAAGTAATATTGAATGCCATTGGTGCCATAATCGATTTATTTTTAATGGTTTTCTTCACTGATTAAGACAAAATGTAGGGACTGGTACCTAGTTTTAGTGTTAATGTGCTGTACCTTCTTTTGTTAAATTGTTTTTTATTCTTTTGAAATTGTTTTTATTCTAGACCAGGTTATGTTACTGCACGTGTTGCAGATGAACTGCCGTGGCTGATTCAACAGACAGGTGATATGGAGAAACTCAAAATGTGCATCAGTGATCTTTTTGTTTTTCAACTTTTGTACTCCAGAGGGTGCTGTGGTGAGCTGATCACGTACTGGCAGAATGTAGGCTGTGATAAAAATGCAATGGCAATGGAATATTTCAATGCAATCAAGAAAGCAGAGGAGAGTAAGTATATTTCTTCAGAAGCAATGTTTTTAGATTCTATTTTTCTTTGGTTTTCTGTTTTTTAATATGTGTCTTTGTTTTTTTTTCCCCTAAGATCTTGGTGGAGTTTTCACATTACCTCGTATTGCTGATATGTATGAATTGCTTGGAAGATTTTTAAAAGATTTAGGACTTCTCAATCAGGTAAGAATTAATCAAAAATTCAAAAAGACGCAAGTCATCCACACCAGCTATGGGCTGTGTAATGGCTTCAGTTTTATGACATTCCGCCAAGTTCACTGGTTTCTGGCTAGCTGGCTAACTTTAACAAGAGATTCGTAGCCTCTTTATTGGCAAATAAATATATATAGTAAATCAAAAATTGTAACAACTAATAAGCAATTAGTAGAGCTCCGCATAGTACACTATAGCAAAATTATTATACGAAGGTTAGATTTAATGCTTGAAGAGTTTTGAATGCATTAAATCTAGCCTAAGTATAATAATTTTCCGCTAGTGTACGATGCATGCTCTGCTAATTGCTTTATAAGTCAATCGCTGTTTTTTTTTATGCTGGTTTTGATAACCAACTGTTGTAGTAGTCATTGATTGCTTTAGTGATATAATCAGTATACTGTGTGCGTATATATACATGTAACTGTGCGTATGCTGAATTCTTTTAGCTCCTGCAGTACGCATATGGATACCATGAATAACTTCTTTGTAATAATTGTATTGTGTTAGAAGAACTTGTTTTTAATGTTTTACATTCATCAAAGAAATAAACATTTTTTAAAGAATTCGAGAGAGAATACAGTCACTGTCACTAACTTCTTGTTCGTTGCAGACAGGTAAAAATCGTGGGATGATTTCATAACAAAGCTAGGCTACGGCATAGGCTAGTAGTAGGAGGTGGCCTCGGCAGCCTCCTGCCTGGCCATAAGCCTAAGTCTAATTTCATTCCTTGAGTCTTTAAAATAGGTCTAAAATATCCCTATTAAACCTTCAGTTTGTTTAATTTATTAGGGCTCATTGATTCAAGGAATTGCTTAATTGTTCTTACTTAATGTTGAATTTAAAGTAACTTTCTTCGGGTTCTAACTAACATTGTTTTGCGAAAGTAATTTTCAATTACAATTCAATTTTCATCGCGGTGCGCGATATCTTCGCGGTGACGAAAAGAATTAAAAAATTTTTTTTAACACGAACCTAAAAAAAAATCAAGCCAAGCTAATTGAAAAATTAGTAGACTGTGGGGGAAAGGCAAATAATATTGGGAGTTGCATTGATGACGTCACGATTGACTTCTAATTGTTATTAATAAATGTTTGTTTGTCTTAGGCTGTGATTTCACTTAACAGAGCTCTTGAAGTAAGGGAGTCTATTGATCCTGACCACCCCAGTGTTGCCCAATGTTTTTATCTTCTTGGTGGACTACATGGGCAGTGGGGCAAGTTTGCAACAGCTGAAGCATACTTTAAACAAGCTCTGGATATCAATGGGAGCGCATTCAGTAATGAGCATGAATCCGTGGTGAAGGTCTTAGAGTCATTGGCTTTTCTGTACCGCAAGCAAAACAAGTGAGTTTATTTGCATTACAATGGTGTACTAATTGGATGATTGTGGCCAGTATAAAAACAAATGGAGTTTATTGAGGATGCCAATAGCCAGCAGTGTTGACGATGATTTCTCACCTTTCTTTTCATTTTTTTTTTAGAAATACACAGATGGAAGTTTCTATTATAATTAAAATAAATATACAGTAATTTAAAGAAAGCTAATTTATTTTATTTGATTTAAAAAAAAAAATATATCTATTTCCTTCTTAGGCATGATCAGGCAGAGCCATTACAAAAGCGTGTCGCAGCTCTAAAAAAGAAGCTCCAGCCCTTCAATGTTAACTCACATGGTAATATTAACATGCTGCAGAAACGTGCACTACAGCTAGAAGAACTAGCCACTGGACCAGATACACCTGAGCTTGCAAAGACATTGAATGAATTGGGTGTCCTCTATTACCTGCAAAACAAACACAGGTAAGAAATCTTTTTCTTTTAATAGTTTCTTTCATATATTTGATCAATATAATGTTTTGAATTTATCAAATCTGGTTTATTAATTAAAATATTGTTAAATCTTCAATTAATGAAAAAAATAAAGAATCAAACACTTCAATGTACATCAGTTTTCAAAATTTTAGCAAACTTTCTCAGTACATTACAATACTAATTGTTTTTTTGCAGCACATCTGAAGCATATTTTAAACGTTCCTTGGCCATGCGTGAAGCAACACAAGGCTCAGATCATCCAGATATTGCGCAGTCCCTCAACAACCTAGCATCATTGTATAATGATCGTAAACAATTTGATATGGCTGAACCATTATATGAGAGAGCACTGAAGATCCGTCAGAAGACACTGCCAGAGGAGCATCCGGCAGTAGCAGCAACCATTAAAAACCTTGCCACTTTGTATAGGAAACAGGTACTTGTATTTGCTAATTAACAACAAAATTATTTGAGCTGATTAGGAGCCATCTATGCTCAAAATAATCAGTTTATAAAACTTGGGGGTGGGTTAGTCTAAATATATGCTTTGTTTGTATGAATAGTAATTCAAAGGTTGAACCCATGATTTGTGGATTGTAAGGCTAGCACTTTATCCATGAAACCACACACTGCCTCATATTATTTCAAGAATTTTAATTGGTTCTGCATGACCATGTGCAGTATACTGAGTGTAGTGTACCCACAGGCCTATATTACTGCTAGTTTAACGAACGCCGTTTGTGTGAACACTTTGGAATTTTAATCCGTGGACTAGCTTACGCCTGGCGTAAGCCACGCCAGTCTTACGCCGTGTGTGTGAACACAGCCTTAACTATACCATAGGTATGCCTATGTGATTTATTGACAACTTGCTGGAAAACTAATTAACATTTCGGCTCTATCTTTTGATATTGAGTTTGATTGTCAGTTAAGGCATGGAGGTATAAAAATAGATTTAAAAAAAAAAAAAAAAAAATTTAGATTTAGATTTAGAAAAATCTATTTTTATACCTCCATGGTTAAGGTCAGTGCAAAGTGAGGTTCCTCAACCCGTCAGAGCTATTGCTGAAACGGGTATTGTGGTAAAGGGAATGGTAACAGCATGTGATTCAGCTCTCTACATATTTCACAGAACATAATTTAATGCTCCTTTTATATTTTATAGTACATATATATTTTCATCATGCAAATATTGCTGATTTTTTTTTTTATTAGGGTAAGTTTGACCTTGCAAGGCCATTGTATGAACAAGCTGTTGAGATTCGTGAGAAGACCTTTGGTGAGAAGCATCCAAGTGTTGGTACAGCCTTGGTCAATCTCGCGGTCCTACACTGTCAACAGGTGAATCTTCATATCAAATGTTATAAAACTTACATAAACTTACTTACAGGCATATTAAATGGATTCATCTTATTTTATACAGTACTTTGTGAAGTCTTTGGATGCGATGCCCTTGATAGTTTTGCCTGTTGTGCATTAGTTTGCCTTTATCAATCTTATCAGCTCTATGCATAAGAATGAATAGAGCACCAAATCTTTCCCTTTCAAAATTGGTTAGAAATAAATTTATTTGTATGTATTGTTTTATGGTTTGGTTATTCTAAGTACCTTTTTACAAATGTTGTTAAACATACCCAAATAGAGTACATCATGTAATTTTTTTTTCTTGTCTGCACATCTTCAGGCTAAACACGGCGATGCATTACCATTATATGAACGCGCTTTAAAGATCTATGAGGATGTCTTTGGGCAGCATCATCCACAGGTTGCGGAGACACTACGCAATTTGGCTGTGCTACGCTATGAGCAAGGAGAGTATCAGAATGCGGCTCAACTTTACAAGCGTGCTACAGAAATCAAAGAATTGGACGCCATGTCTTTCACAAGTAAATCCATTAGTGGATCTTCAGTAGCTAGGAACTCCGTTCTAGGTCACAGCACATTTTTCCCAGATCCCAGGTGATTGATACAAGGTGTGAGGTAATTAATGGCGGGTGTATCATGTGATTGATAACAGGTGTATAATGTTGATCCAGGTGTATGGTAATTCCCAGTTGTTGCAATACAGTAGAACCCCTATTAAGGGGACACATTTGGGATCAAAAAAATTGTCCCCCAATTTGGGGTACCCATATTCGGGGGACACTAACCAAAAACGTGAAATGGTCCCCTTAATAGGGGTTTTTGGCATTTTTTCTTACAATGATGACATAGGCCTAGTTTCTTTATAATTTTATTTTAATTGACCTAAGAATGAGTTACAGTTGAATTATAACTAATTTTTAACAATAATTTGCAATGCAAAAAGCAAATCATTTATGATGGGAATTCAACTGATATGTAATTAAAACTACAAAAGCTGTATAGTCCTATGTTCATAATATTATTTATTTCTTGATCCGAGTGTTATATTAATGGTGAAGTATTCTTTTCTCAAATATTGAGCTAACAAAGTCAGGGTGTAGCTGCTCGGTATACATCAGCCTACAGTATCAGTATGTGAAAATACACAAAACAAGAAATTCCCATGGTTAAAAGATTGTATTTATATGAACTAACGCTAAAGATTATGAGGGAATAATTATGGTTTGATGTTAATTTTATTGCTCAAAAAGTTCAAATTTAAATTTGAAAGATTTTTTTTCTTATTTTGAGACAATAAAAAAAAGTGTCTCCTTAATAGGGGTTAAAATGTATTGATTTGACCATTTTGCACTCAGAAAGTGTCCCTATCCTCTTAATAGGAGTGTCCCCTTAATAGGGGTTGGCTGTAGTGTTAAAAGATATACTGTATTGCCACTTATTTCACGGATAAGTGTTTTTATTATATAATTTATTCTGTTACCTAGGCTTTGCAACTCAACTCAATTGATCTTTGGCAAATTTCAAGCAAATGTCACATCAATTGTTATTAACATGAACAAAGAAGACAATAATTTAAGCCACATGATTCATGACTTTTGACTTAATGTGGTCTTACACAATTTGGCCAACAAATAGGTCAACATTGTAATGTACCAGATAAAATATATATTTTATGCTTTGTAAATTTTTTTATAGAAGAATTTTAGATAGTGTAGTCTCCTGTAAATTGTCAGCTTATGTATTTACTGTACACTGAATATGCAATGTAGCTTATATTTATACAAATATAAATTCGAGAATAAATTATATATTTTGATATTTGCATATTACTGTTCTTTGAATTATCTTTTATCAATACAATACAGTACACACACACACACACAATTGAGACCATTATTTTTATTCTATAAATGCTGGTCAAATGTATTCATAATTTATCTGTAGAATTGTTTACATGTTTAACATGCATATGAAATCAGAATACTGTATTTATCTTAGCTGATTCAGAATTAATAGCACTGTAAATAAATTCCAAACAATTATTATGAGGACATGCTGGCAATTCCCATCGTGCACAGCTGGAAAAAGTGCGTAACCTCATGACCGGTGGTTGGAGGCTACATGAATGTCCTAGAGGCAATTTGGGGGGAAAAATTCAAAAAATTAAACTGTTAGGTTATGCAGCCTATATATTTGGTAATTTAATATAATACTTGGTGGTGGAGGCATTTTATCAAGACAACCTTCATGGTCAGAGACACAAACATTTTTTCTTCCAAGCCTGCCATTGTGGATGACAACAGTGGCTGGGGGGGCTACAGTCAATGGCCCTCAGATGGTGCTGCGCGCTAAAGTACAACTTGCTGTCAGGGAAATCCTAGTACCGCCATTGGATGACCGTTGCATAGGACAGAAGTGAATGAGTGAGCCACCAATGGCTGGACATAAAATCATAACCTACACGTTTGTAACCATTTTCTAAGAGGATGATTTTGTTTCCACACAACAATCTATGTGATGCTAAGAATGCATTGGTCCCGCTGGAAATCTGAGCAAACAAAATAATATACTCAAGTAGTCAAAATTTACCTATTTTCCCCAACTAGTAATTCTCCACTGTCACCCACCTTCCCCACCTCTGCTACTATGGTAAGTCATAAAATAATATCAGTTTGGTCCAGAGCAAGAGTGTATTTCACAAATTTTAAGAAGCTACTTAACACCCATGTAATCTTATATACATTTGCTTGTATCTGAATAAATATCTTATAAAAAAAGAATATTGTCTTGTACAACATGACAGTAACATAGCAAACAATTATAACAAATGTACTGCTAAAATTCTTAAAAGAACATTTACTTTGCAAAAAACGAAGGCCTTTGTCATGATCTTCATGTTTAACCAAGGCAATTTATCCAGTGATGCTTTACAACCAAACTAGTTATTTTTTAGTTAAAATTCCCCTTTTTGGGTTTGAAAGTCATGCTCTACATCTTAGACAAAACCAATACCTTGGACTGTAAATATATTAGCTGAACTGACATATGACCAAGAAGACATTGTGTCCATATTTCTCCATTATTTAATAAATATTTTTCTGCTTTGAAGTACAAATTATTTGTCCATTTCTATTTTGAACAGGTGAGATATTATAGAGCTTTCATCTGTGCCATCAATTCCTCCACTGATATCTCTTCACTTCCAACTCCTCCCACAGCAACCTGCAAAAACAAGCGATCGCTGCATGTCATTGTAAGCTACATTTATTTATATATAATCATCTTTCAATACAGGTTAAGTTTTGGTGTCTCTGTATTTCCACCACATGCTCGAAGCATATAACGCTTCATTAGCATTTTGAGTGCTTGTTACTGGTATTATAGCTATAGAATATAGTGTCAAGTATTTCCCTTCCCTTATTGCTAGAGAACTTATTCTGATAGTCACTTGCCTCCTCAGCCACTTCATGAGATTTTTCATATGAATATGAAAGTCCAGTTGCCAGCTCAGGTGCCGGCTTTGATTTTAGATCTTCATCACTCGTCTCAGACACTAAACAAATACCTGAAAAATTGGTAACTATTTATCAGCATTATCAAAAAAATGAATATAAATCAATAGCTCCTCCTTCAATTTTATAGACATTGAACATATTTAACATTTATCTAATTGTGAGTCAATCCTACAAACCCCATTCATTTGATTCATGCACAATCTCTTCAACTTTCTCATCTGTGATTTCTTCTTTTGGCTTCAATGCCTCTTCCTCCTATAAAAAACAAATATATGTTTAGTAAAGTTTAGCCATCAGGTAAGCAGTTCCAAGGAACATGGTGGGAACAGAGAGCGCTTTGCTTCAGTCTCTCCTGGAAGGTATTTCTCCAAGGTACAGTATTTTAAATGCATTATGGCCCAAAAATAAGAATTCTTTTATAGTTTTTGATCTGACGTGTCAAGTTATGGTTGACATGGTATGGGATGGCTTGTCCTGTGTACACCAGTAGGGGGTTAAATTTCCTTCCCTAGCTAACACAACCACTGTAGTCTATAAGTATACTTACCTGGAAAACCTTCTGTTGCTTTCTACAGAAGCTGTCATCACAAGCAGTGTTGGGTTTCAGTGCCATTGTAGGAAAGAAATCATTGAGAGCACTATATCCTAAGTAATGAGTAACAGTTCCAAATCCTAGAAGGTATCTAAACAACATGATATTGAAATATTATGATTAGAAACATTGGTCACCTTGATAAAACTTGTTCAATAAAATAAAGATACAAATTAATTTTCACGATGCTTAGCATTTCTTATTATGTTAGGATTTAAAATACTCTGTGAGGAAATCTGAGAGTATCAAATTGGGGAGATAGACTTTTGTTCTGGGAATTCAATCTTTCTCCTTACCTTTGCTACTCATCATGAATGTTGTTATGAAATTAAGATATGTTATATTCAAAAAGAGACAAGCTGACAAAAACTTACTTGAGTGTATTTTGAACTAAGAAGCCTGCGACTATACCCATGGTTGTTGGTAGACTGGCAGCACAAACGCCCTCTCTCTTTAAAGTTTTCTCATCAATGTTCTCTGCTACAACAAGTGGTGGGGCACACTAAATATAAATAACAACTTGGATAAAAATGTAGTTTAGAGTTTATGTAAATTATAATTGGTGTGTGATCATGAATATATTAAGGCAAAAGAACCATTTGCTTGTTACCTTTATTCTATATATTTACTACTTAAAGGTTTAAGGCAAGGAACAAAATGTTAAGTAATGAAATTAACATATACAGTATTTAAAAAAAAAAGATTTGACTTACAGCAAAACAAGCGGTTTCTCCTGGTTTAATAAACTGTATGTGACCGGAAACCGCATTTTCACTTACACCAGATTCAAACCAATTTTGTCTCAATTCATTGCAAGCCTGTATCAATGCATAAAATAATAATACTTTTTTATTATTATTTAACACCGCTATAATTAAATACTAAACCACCAAACCCGAGTGGAGCTGTGGCTTGGTGGTTCAGGTATTTGCTAATGTTCTGAATTTTTGTTACTCCTTGAAGTCTCAAATACTCAGATTTCCACTCACCAAACCTTATAAAAGACTTTATTGGGAAGGGGGAGGGGGGGGTTCAAATGTCATCACCCCTGTTTGTGACACAGCATGAAAATTCCAAATGATCAGCTCTTCACTCTCCTAGTCTCATACAAGAGGCTTATATACAACATGAGTATCCCAAATGCATCAGTTTTAATGGAGGGGTCATTTTGTAAAAAAATTGACAAATTTCAGATATTTCAAGCTGAACATGTAAAAACATACCATATTAATTGCCATTCTCGCTTCAAAATTGTCAACGCAGCTAAGAACAAGATCTACTGGACCATCACCATTCAAATTTCCTTTACTATAAATGATATTGAAGCAAAATAAATCATTTAATCAATGACACTGTATCATTACAAAGAAAAATTATTGTCATCCAAATATCATCCTTCCATCATAGAGCCTTCCCCTCTATACAGTATTTCAAAATGATCCAGATTGTAGATACTGTATTTAATAACATTTGATATTCATGTTAAAATCTCCCAAAGTCATTGCACATTACAATTAGATTATGTGGCTAACTAGGCTTTTCCCCAATTAATAAATTGTAATTTGGCAAGTGATTTATAATAAGCAGAACAAAATTGTTGGGCAAGAGAGCAGCAGATACATGAACATATGAATCATGAGGCATGCTACATTGAGGCATACCAGGGGCGGATCCAGAGATGTTCAAAAGGGGGCCCGCGAAAGGGGGCTGAAAATGGAGCTGATCAAGACAACATCGACCCCAGGGGTCAGGGGGCATGGGGCCATGCCCCGCAAAAATGTTTGTTTTCTAGACGCCTAAAAATAACCTCTAAAAGTGTTTTGGGTGATCAATTTTTTTTTACTTCCCAAAAGGCCTGGGGCCCCCCTCCAAAAATCTGCCCCTGCATGCTACATCTGAACTTTGGTTGGACCTTAGAAAACATAGACAAAGCCTGTAATATGACGTAAGTGCACGTCCTTTGTTATAATCACCTTATTCTGTCCATAAAATGCTTAAAGTTGTCGACTGTTGTGATATTATAATTGTGAGTCTCAAAATTAACATCAGGATTGATTTCTCTGAAAGACAAACAAGCTTTTCAATTAAAACAAAATAATCTGAGATTACAAGCCCTTGCACTGCAGCGCCATATCTCTGTACGAAAAAAAATAATGGCATGCGGTCGATGCGTTCGAGTAGGCTTGGCCTAGCCAAACAAAACCTAGAATCATAGGCCTTGCATGGCAAGCCCTTCATTCGGGTGAGTTTGCAGGCCAGCCGCACCACTTCGGTCCACTGGACAGAATTTGACACACCCCTACTATGGCCTAGCCAAACCAAGCCAATTGATCCACTCGAGTTGGCAATGTCTGTTGCGGCCGTAAAATATAACATTCTGAAATGTAAATCTTTACTTCCGATCAGCACTAAATTTGAGGAGGACTGACATACATGTAACCGTGTGAAAATTTTAAGTAAATGGGTCCAGTGGTTTTTGAGTTATGCGCCTGGAAGGACACACACAGACGCATGCTATTGCAATACCTTTCACTCTCCTTTGTTTAGGTGAGGGTATTTTTTCTGAAAAGTGTATGTGTATCAATGAGGCAATAATAAAAATGTAATAGATGATTAAACCTTACTGAAGAGTTTTCTCTGCAGCCTGTACTTTACTCATACCAGCTTGATGTGGTTGAAAAAATAGACGATTCATGTTTGCTAATTCCACCTTGTCGTAATCGAAAAGCAGCAACTGCAAATTAATGGACATACTTATCAGGTCAAAGTTTACATACATAGCATCTTTATTGTTTTTATCCTTCTCATCATGCTGATGATGATGATGATCATCATCATCATAAAATCATAGCATCATACTTATCATGATACTATCGGTTTGGTTACCATGGAAACTAACTAAGATTATAATGTTGTTATATTGCCTATGTAGTTCAAGTTGAAATTTCAGTTCATTTATTGACATCTGTATCTACAACATTAGTAATAATATATCTGATGATGCATTTATGTTAAACAAAAATCCTCCTCAGTTTACAATGCAAATTTGTAAAACATTTTTGGTGGCAGAGTTTTAAAATGGCCAAATGCATTTCATGGACCTAAGGAAAAGAATTTTTCAAGCAGGACCTTTCTAGAGAATAGGTTACCAAAATAAAATTCTTCCCACCATCAGCATTCTCACTAGCAATAACCTTTCTACTATGAAATCAAGACAATATCATTAACATCATCTTCACTTTCTAAACATTAGATGAAACATAACATACAGTACAGACCTTTCCAACGCCACAACGAGTGAGCATTTCAGCTGTGACACTTCCCACACCACCTACACCAACAACAGCCACAGTAAACTCCCTTATGCGCTATGTGTGTCAAAATAAAAATACTGATTAGTTGATTGAGATTTCAAAATTTCATTAAAAAAAACTCTAATTTGGATGTATATACCATATTTTTTACATCTCCCTGTTCATACATTACCACGTCTCAGTGGGTGTATCTATGAGTCTTGAAATGGGGGATTTTTAATTCGGGTTGGTGGGGGCAGCACAAAGGGGAAGCTGGGGAGCACTATGATCAGGTGAGAGGGTGCTAGCTCGCAAAATAAGGTGATTTGCGGTGATTTTAATTACTTGTGCACAATTTTGGAGGGGGAAACTGGGAGGGGGTTACTTTGGGGGTGGGTGTGCGCCCCACAACGCACCCCTTAGATCAGTGGTTCCCAACCTTTTTGCGTTCGCGGACCCCTCTGGAGATCTAAAAAGTCTTTACAGACCCCCATGTCTAAATATACTCATTGTCCATATCCCAGTGAGTACATATTTTTATGTATATGGCACTTCTAGGTGGCTGGAAATGGCACTGTCAGACTCAAAATTTGAAGGTAATTTTCTTTTATTTCCCATTTAATTTTTAAATTCGGTAAAATTTAGGGCGACTCATGGTTGATATTCCACCAATAAAATTATGGATAGAAGATGATGATTTGCCAAATTACGACATCTGGGATCTTGGAATTCGACATAGACAGGAAGGGAGGGGTGCAAGCAGTAAATTTTACAGATAGGGGAATTGCGTTACCTCAGCCCCACCATTGTTGGGAAATTAAAATATTAAAATATGATGCCAGTTAAAACAATGAAAAAGTGAACGGTTATTTCGTCAAGGCATGATCATACAAGAAAAATAATGGAATCATAAACAAGTCGTTCTAATAATCTAGCAGACTCCCAATTACTTTTCGCGGACCCCTAAGGGGTCCGTGGGCCCCAGGTCAGTGTTGTTCGCATTGTACTGTATTTCAACTTTCAACTCCATGGTTAGGGGTAGTACATTAATGAAGGCAAATGAAAAAACTCCCAACATATGGATTCTGACAAAAGTGACGTGGATGGGGTTATAATCTAGAACGTTATACAGGGATCATTATGTGGGTATTTTGTTTTAAGAAAATGTCTTACCTCATAATTATGCACAATGCCCATTCTCTTCAAGGCCATCAGCCGGCTACAAATGAAAAAAAAAAAAAAAATTATTTTCGCTTCAGTGAGAAAAGAATACAAGAGTTACATCATGATGAAACATGGCATTTTAAATGTCCTAGGAATGGAAAAAGTGAAAAACACTACAAACTCTATCATAAATCACAAATAAATGGACCTGTGTAAGTAGGCTACATATTGCCCATTTTACATTGAATTATTATTAATCCTGTCGCACAATTATTTTTAAAACACAGCTGTTTATATTCTATATTTCTTGGTAATTGGAAACAAACCATCAGTCAGGTACTTTGCCTACTGGTAGGATTTTTTTTCATAACAGTACTCCATCCAGGACAAAGGTAAATTATAAAATAGGAAGTGCAACTTTACTCTATTCATAATTACAGTACATGAAATAGCTATAATATTTGTATACTCACCAATCATAGAACCAATTATTTACAGTCTGTCATCAGATTTTCGGACTCTAAATTTTGGAATTCGTTTTTACTAACCAATTCAAAAAACACTTAATATAGATTACTAATTTTTTAACATATATATTCCATCTCCCAATTTTGTTGCTGCCTGTCGTGGTCTGTCAGTCTGTATTCGATTTGTTTTGTTTCATGTTGTTTTTTGTCTCCTTTGTTAATCTCCTTTTATTCTCATGTTTTGTTTCTTTTATTTTCTAGGGTTGTGCCTTCTTCCTTTCACTTGTTTTTATTAAATTTACATATTTTTCTTTGCATTTTAAATATTTTTTTTTTAATTGTGTTGTATTGCACATTTTTGTACAACAAAATTAAGAAAATAAATGAAATTCTACAATAGCATTATTGAAGTAGTAGACCCAGAAAGTACTAGTTCCTAGGCCAATTGTAGCAACGTAGCCTAGGCTAGGCCTACCTGTACGGATTGCTATCGACAACTTCGGCACTCATTTTCTCGATTCGCTGCCGAGCTTGGTTGCTAACCATCATAGGCCTAGGTTGCGACTTTTCGTGTTCATTTGCTAGTTCTTTCTCTAGTTCCTTAACTCTTGCTTGTAAATCGGAAATGCTTTCCATTTTCAAAAAATATATAATTGTGAAGCACAAATGTATCAATGAATGTATCAATAATATTTAACAATAAACAGCTCTGCCATATGCTGCGTTCTGCTGCGTGACAAACGCACGGTGGTGGTGTCATGGTTCAACCTCGATCTATGACGTCATATTCTTAAAATAGCACTAGCTGCTAACTCTCCAATATTTGTATTCTTCTGTATTTTCTATACAGGTATTTCTCCATCTATCACATATATGTATTTATCATTTAGGAACACAAGAACATAATCAATACAATCACAAATTAATTCCTTATAGTAACTGCATACGTGTTTTTACAAGACCAATAAAAGATGTATTCTGTATTTAAATTACATAAACTACATTTTCATCAAATAATTCCGTTACATTTCATTCCGGCTTTCGCTTTCACATTGGCACACATCAAGGAGAGGGGGAGGGCACGCCCCCCTCTCCATATACTTAAGGGAGTTGTAATTTCATAAGTCAAGAAGATGCCTAAAAATTGATTGAACTGAACTGCATAAATGACACAGAGCGCTGCGGGTACGGTACCGGTACATGGATTATGAATTTTACTATATTAAAGAGCGTTTTTCCGGTCATCTGGAGGTACTATTTCATCAAATTTAATATCCTCAGTCAACCATGGAGGGGCGGAGGTGGGTGTTGGCCCACGACTGTCCCCTCCCCCCCCACCTTTGAATACAGATCTGCGCCCTTGAAAAATTATTGTCGAAAATTTCACAAAAAAGAAGTCTCCTACTTGTTAAAGTA